CGCAAGTCCAAAGAGGAATCTTGAGGGAACCACATACATATTATATATATATATGTATGTATATATGCCTCAGTCGGAGTGCAGACACATATGCAACATGTCTAGTGGCGCAGAATGAGGCGGAGTTTGTATGTTGTGGGTAAAGACTCAAACACATTGTGTCGCTGCGTTGTCCTGACATTTTACCAACCTTTGACCATGACCCCTTGAACGTTCAACAGGCATGGGCTCACCCACCGTCTGGTTTGGGGGTGGGGGGGGGTTCCCGCATAGGGAGTGGAATTCAGGGTCACAACCGCGCTCGGACCCGTGTCAAACAGTGACATGCTAGGGGATAGACTTGAGGGATCTCAAAACAGTTCTTTTTCCATGTTGCCCACCTCTACTTGTTGTTTTCTCTCAAAGAAGCCAAAAGCACGTCATCAAACAATTGATGTGCCTGGGAGACTGGTTCATCGTCAAACTGGTGGAACACGTAAGCGCTTTGCTAGCAAAATTAACTACCCGACTGAGCCTAGCGGCATCGAGAACTCCATTGGCTTTACAGAGACCCAGTTTGCACAGTTCAGTCAGTTGGAAATGCACAAGAGCCGTTGGCAAGTGGTAGACTAAAAAAAAGGTCCTTCATTTGCCACTGAGATGTGTTCACTTTCACATGATCGGCAAGTACTGGTAGAGTAAAGGCTCATGTGGGCGACTTGTTTTCACTTTCACTTTTTGTTCTTCTTCTTTTTTAATGGTCACTTTCACCCGTTTTTGTTTTTTTTAATGGTCACTTTCACCCGTTTATATATACGGATCCCAAAGCTCCGGTCGCCCGACGCTCGCGAGGCATCTTCGACGGGGAGATCTATCCGAAGCTCCCGGGCGCTCCATCGCCGGGCGCTCGGCTCGCTCGGCTCGCGCTGCTCTCGCTGCTCTCGCGGTGTCGGTTCGGTTTTCTGCGCGAGGGTTGGATTCACCAAATGGTTGGGTACCTTGGGTGTGTCACGAAATGGATGGATTCACTAAATGGTCTCAAAATCGGATATGATGATATGGAACCTGCAAAAAGGCTGGCGTGTCTCTTTGGTTTCCCGTTGAAATCCCAACAAAGGGTACATATTTTCACGACCCCCCCTATGAGGGCCTAAAGAAAGATTTAATAGTGATGGGCTAATTAACCAGCGCTGTTCCACAACAATTTATTTCTGTGGCGAAAACAGTACTCCACAGCCCTATTTAGGCCCTTGCTAAATATCGTCACTCCAACTATGTAGGCCCTTGCTTGCTTCCAACTTTTCCGACCCCGTGATTCCATTTACCTAGGTGACCGAGGGAGGGATTGATTCCCCATTCTTTTCATCGTTCTCTGGGAGTTTGCCTTGTTCTCTTGAACAGAATGGGGGGGGGGTACAGTGGATACCCGAAAAATATGTTGCAAAGCCAAACCGTGGGAATGTACAGGGTTTCCGCTGTTCTCTACTTGCCAATATTCAGGGCATCCACAGGACTGGCTTCTCGCTTGGACAAACTTCAAACTTTGGACCACAGGCTGACTCTGTGCGGCGCCGCCATGACTTTGCAGCTGCTGCAGGTCTGGCAGAGTTCGCCGATTTGGAGTGAATGGTGTTGTGTTTGTTGTTCTTGTGCTACTTTCCAATTCCATTATTTCCAGGGATCCTTCTTTCTAGAAAACCTCCGGAAACCCATGGAAACGGCCGGTTTTCGAAAAGAACGATGGTTGGAAAGAACGGAGAATCAACCGTTAGAGGATTTGGAGTGAATGTTGTCTAGGTCCCCCAGTAGTGCCCTTTACCCTTTTTTGGTTGGCAGGGTTTCCCTACTAAAATAGACTACAGAAAAAAGAGCACCCGTATTCTAACCTCTCTACTGGAGGACCTAGTTCTGTTTGTGGTGTTTTGTTCGAGGGGGAGGGGGGGTGGGCGGGGGCGGGCTTGGTTGGTTGTTGATATTTGGGAGGTTCCCCTCTTGGGGAGAGTTGCAGTTTACTGGGTCTGCAGATTATAAATCGATTGACATGTAAATAGCCCTCGCCGCAACGGGTTTGGATTTCAGGCAGTTTCAGGCAGAAAGAAAACAGCCCGAAACAGCCCGATAAGCCGGATGTGCTGAGAGGTGTGCGCAATCCAAAAAAACAAAACTGCCCGAAACTGCCCGGGAACGCCCCCGGTTGCGCGATCCCCCGTTAAGGGCTGCAAGCCAACCTTGGAGTCTACAAGGGAGATTCCTCCGATTCTAGTATTGGCGGGGGGTTACCGTGTTAAATTGCAGGAGTGTAGATGTGTGTTGGGTCAATGTTTGGAAGTCTTGCAGTGTTGCCCCTTCCTAAATTGATGGTAGACAAGTTTGAAAAGATGGTTATTTGTGTACCCTTGGTTTGCGGGTCGAACATTGACCAAGTTTGGGAGGTTGGAGGTTTGCATGTTCTCATTTATGGGGTGGAATATCATAAATGGGCATGACATTTAATTGAGCACGTGGGACGTGTCCAAGCAACAGCCATGCAGGTGGCGCTCATGATCTCACAGCAGCGACTGGGGCCAAGGCAGATCTTCAATCGGTAGGGTCTAGGGTCTCGAAGGGGTCTAGGGTCGAAGGGGTGTAAAGCCCAACCCAACAGGCTTAACAAGCCAACAGCCCAACAGCCCAAAAGCCGAGGCGGAAAGGCCGGCCCCAATGGAGCCCTTTGACACGCCTTTAAGGCAGGTGTCAATGCCCAAAGTTGAAGGTTCTGAATCAGGGTTGTGGGATCAAGGGGTTTCTCTCCACTTCTGTGATACAAGGGAATCCCCCTTTATATGAACACAGTAGTCTTTGGGAAGCCGTTTCTGTTGTATCACATAAGTGGTCATTCCCCACAGCCCTGTTCTGAATGGTTTCCGTCACATGCCGCATGCGCACCATCCATGTGCTGCGTGGATTGCTAACTCGAAGATGCGGAGTTGAGCTCTTGCCGCGTGAGCACCGTGAAGAGTTGGATGTATCAACGGAAAGGGACACGCAAGTTTGCCGTTTGCAAAATGGTTTGCTGCGAAAGAAGGCAGTCCTTTTTCCATTGAATCACAGCTGTTGGTTTTGCTTTGTTGACTTCCAAGGGCGTGAGGTGAGACAGGTTGCGATAAGCTGCATTTACCACTGCTTTTGTTGTTTTCTTGTTTTGCTTTCCGCGGCTTGAGGTGCAATTCCGAGCATGTTTGAGCATGAAAGGCTTCTATAGAAGACAAATTGTCGCCATGCTTGCAATTTGCTGCTTTCACTGGTAGCCGGTTACCGAAAAGGGTGAGGGGATTGTGGAAGGATGGCCCAGTTGGGTGATGTGTTCCGAAGTCCTTATAATATTACCTCTTCAGTCACATCTCCGGCCAATTCAATGTGAGTTGTCTTTGGGTAGGGTGATGTCTACAAAGAACATATTATTAAAGAACTTTCTCAGAATGATGGACCCTTTTAGTTGCCTAAAAGCAAAAGGAATCAAGCTTTTAAGAAGAAACAAAAGCACACACCCTCAAACGGAGCATTAACAAGGCTGTCAGCCAGGGCAGCAAGCAATGCATCAAAACGGGGGCAACAACTACAAACACTGTACTGCACCCTCCCACTGTTCCTTGTGCGGGCCATTCATGGGTTTTCTTTCAGCTTCCCTCTACCAAACCAGGTTGGTTCACCATTGATTGGCCGAGAGGTGGTTTGTGCCGTGGCCCTGCCTGCCGCACGTCTACAACTACCGCGGAAGCCGCGGGCAGGCGCGGAGTTCTTTTTTTTTTGTGGGTGTCTTTTTGGTTTTAGCCGATTGAGATATTAAAAGCACAACTCACATGCGGTGGAAAACCATGTTGGTGGCTCTGGGTCAGGATTTTGATGGGGTTCAAAGTGAGAAGCTGGGGCAGTGGTGTCCATCAAGTTTTCACCTTGGGGACCTTGATCGTGACATCTTGGGGCCAGTCGCAAGGGCGTGGCATGAGTGTGGCCAATCCTGTCTGGAAATGACACGTGGCAAACAATTTTTTGAGTTGGCGCAATCGTTTTGGCTTTTTGGAGGCAAACCAAAAGGAAACCCCAGCCCCACTTTGGGTCGGCCTTTTGTCAGACCTAAAAGTTGCAGGGAGAGAAATGTGTGTTTCAGCTGCAAGGCAAAGGGTTAGTGGCTTGGTGGTTTCCTCCCCGAGTTGCCTGTTCGGAACATTTGAACCGTGAAAAGATGATCTGGTTGCCCATCATTTGGTTAGACGGGCTGTTAGGGGACATCGGGCTTGCAGATCCTTAAGGGGCAGGACTTGAGAGGCAACGCTGTGAAACTCAGAGCGCAGCTCTGGACAGAAGTTGTTGTTTGTTTTTTTTTGCGGAGGGGGGGGGGGGAGAATATGGCGGCTGCTTACTCTTTCGTGGTTTAAGTCTAAGTGGTCAAAGCGAACCTGAATGCTTGCCTGCAAACGTCATAGGCTTGCAAGCTACACTGCCTAAGAACTTGAGCAATCATGGGTCCGCGAGTATCTGAATGTTGAAGCCTGCCTGCAAGAGCAGGGCCCGATACTTTGCAAAGGGGCGCTGATGCCAGTGCTTCGTTTCTCATTAAAAACAGTTTAATAATGATAATAATGATATATATATATATATATAAAGACAAAACAAATCCTGGCTGCCACCCCCTCTGGAAACTGCTGCATTGCTGCATTCAGAAGGGGGAGTTCGATTTTCACTGGGTGCATGCCCTGCTCATACATGGCCTGGGAGCCGAACTAGTTGCCAGGCCTTCTTGCAAACGTGTGCAGTGGATTAACGTAGCTCGATCACTGGTACAGGATGTTTAAACGAAGTGTTCCTTTACAGGAGGTTAACTACTTGTTTGTTTTCCGCAGGGCAACATAGCTCAACAAATGCCTTGTGTTTGTTGGTCAAGGGGTTACCCGTCCCATTACTTTAGAGCCTCCGGCTCAGTCCGCCGACATTGTCCTCTCCCTTTTCTCCTTCTTCCTCTCTTCCTTGTCTCCCTTGTGTGTTCTGTCGTCCTCTCTCCCTCCCGCTGCTCCCATCCTCCCCATCCCCCCAAGCCTCTCTCTCCCCAATCTCCCTCTCTCGTATGTATGCATGCATGTACATATGTATGCATGTATGTATGTACGTATGTATGTATGTATGTATGTATGTAATGTAAGGAAGTAAGTACGTAAGTAAGTATGTATGTAATGTAATGTAATGTAATGTAATGTAATGTAATGTAATGTAATGTAATGTAATGTAATGTAATGTAATGTAATGTAATGTAATGTAATGTAATGTAATGTAATGTAATGTAATGTAATGTAATGTAATGTAATGTAATGTAATGTAATGTAATGTAATGTAATGTAATGTAATGTAATGTAATGTAATGTAATGTAATGTAATGTAATGTAATGTAATGTAATGTATGTATGTATGTAATGTATGTATGTATGTATGTATGTATGTATGTATGTATGTATGTATGTATGTATGTGTATGTATGTATGTATGTATGTATGTATGTATGTATGTATGTATGAATGAATGAATGAATGAATGAATGTGTATGTATGTATGTATGTATGTATGTATGTATGTATGTATGTATGTATGTATGTATGTATGTATGTATGTATGTATGTATGTATGTATGTATGTATGTATGTATGTATGTATGTATGTAATGTAATGTATGTAATGTAATGTATGTATGTATGTGTATGTATGTATGTATGTATGTATGTATGTATGTATGTAATGTATGTATGTATGTATGTATGTATGTATGTATGTATGTATGTATGTATGTATGTATGTATGTATGTATGTATGTATGTATGTATGTATGTATGTATGTATGTATGTATGTATGTATGTATGTATGTATGTATGTATGTATGTATATGTATGTATGTAATGTATGTATGTATGTATGTATGTATGTATGTATGTATGTATGTATGTATGTATGTATGTATGTATGTATGTATGTATGTATGTATGTATGTATGTATGTATGTATGTATGTATGTATGTATGTATGTATGTATGTATGTATGTATGTATGTATGTATGTATGTATGTAATGTATGTATGTATGTATGTATGTATGTATGTATGTATGTATGTATGTATGTATGTATGTATGTATGTATGTATGTATGTATGTATGTATGTATGTATGTATGTATGTATGTATGTATGTATGTATGTATGTATGTATGTATGTATGTATGTATGTATGTATGTATGTATGTATGTATGTATGTATGTATGTATGTATGTATGTATGTATGTATGTATGTATGTATGTATGTATGTATGTATGTATGTATGTATGTATGTATGTATGTATGTATGTATGTATGTATGTATGTATGTATGTATGTATGTATGTATGTATGTATGTATGTATGTATGTATGTATGTATGTATGTATGTATGTATGTATGTATGTATGTATGTATGTATGTATGTATGTATGTATGTATGTATGTATGTATGTATGTATGTATGTATGTATGTATGTATGTATGTATGTATGTATGTATGTATGTATGTATGTATGTATGTATGTATGTATGTATGTATGTATGTATGTATGTATGTATGTATGTATGTATGTATGTATGTATGTATGTATGTATGTATGTATGTATGTATGTATGTATGTATGTATGTATGTATGTATGTATGTATGTATGTATGTATGTATGTATGTATGTATGTATGTATGTATGTATGTATGTATGTATGTATGTATGTATGTATGTATGTATGTATGTATGTATGTATGTATGTATGTATGTATGTATGTATGTATGTATGTATGTATGTATGTATGTATGTATGTATGTATGTATGTATGTATGTATGTATGTATGTATGTATGTATGTATGTATGTATGTATGTATGTATGTATGTATGTATGTATGTATGTATGTATGTATGTATGTATGTATGTATGTATGTATGTATGTATGTATGTATGTATGTATGTATGTATGTATGTACGTATGTATGTATGTATGTATGTATGTATGTATGTATGTATGTATGTAATGTAATGTAATGTAATGTAATGTAATGTGTAATGTAATGTATGTATGTAATGTATGTATGTATGTATGTATGTATGTATGTATGTATGTATGTATGTATGTATGTATGTATGTATGTATGTATGTATGTATGTATGTATGTAATGTAATGTATGTATGTATGTATGTATGTATGTATGTATGTATGTATGTATGTATGTATGTATGTATGTATGTATGTAATGTATGTAATGTATGTATGTAATGTAATGTAATGTATGTATGTATGTATGTATGTATGTATGTATGTATGTATGTATGTATGTAATGTATGTATGTATGTATGTATGTATGTATGTATGTATGTATGTATGTATGTATGTATGTATGTATGTATGTATGTATGTATGTATGTATGTGGGTATGTAGGTATGTAGGTATGTAGGTATGTAGGTATGTAGGTATGTATGTAATGCATGTATGTATGTATGTATGCATGCATGTATGTATGTATGTATGTTTGTATGTAATGTATGTTTGAAATGTATGTATGTATGCATGCATGCATGCATGCATGTATGTATGTATGTATGTATGCATTTCCCGCAAAAAACACGGTTTTTCCAGCGTTTTCGCAAAGAGGACGCCCAAAAACATTGAGTTTTTCCAGATTTTCGTTAAAAGGATGCAGGAAGCCCAAGCCAGCAAAAAAGCCGGCAGGGGGAATCGAGCCTGGGACCCCTGTTTTGCGACACCGGCTCCCCGAAGACTACGTTTAGTGGAACGTCATCAAATTGCCGCGCGGTACGTGGGGGACCCCCCCCCCCCAAAAACCTACGTAATAGACGTCGGGCGGGGGGGGGGTTAGGGGGGGGGGTTATCCTCTATCCTCTAGTATCCTCTAGTAAGTATCCGACACGCCGAGCAATGTCGGCGGATTTGGGGGGTGTTCCCTCCAAAAGTTCTGAATCCCCACTAAAAGGGGACACCCCCCCGATCCAAATCAACCAGGGGTGTATTAATCCGGGGTTACTAACTACTTGGCCGCGCCCGCCATCCATTTGGCCCCGATACCTTTCTTCCCAGCGCCTTTTGCAGGCGCCGGCAGGCGCCGAGTGCGTGATTTGCATGCTGGAGATCGGGGCAGAGGCGGGGCAAATGGAGAAACGGGGTACCAATTCCAAACGTCACAAGCCCACATATCGTAAGAGCCCGTTGGGCCTTTGAGTGGTAAATAGCAAGTTCTCCCAGATGTTTTTGATTTGCTCTTATTAACATCCAGGTTATGCTGGTCTTGGTATGGATGGTCATGAACCTCGCAATAGGGCTGTTGCCCATTGGTGCCGTTTTTCTTTGTTTTTTTTTGGGTGGGTGGGTGGGTTTCCTCTTCAAACTCAACCAGCAAACAAAGGGTGCCGATTATGATTTGTCCCGTGGACATCCACTGGGCATCTGAGGGGCGTTTCGTAGCTCCTTTTTTAGTAGAGGCTCGACATCATACTTTAGAAAACGAGAGTATTTCAAAACAAGTAAAGTATTATTTGTCGTTTTTTCCGTCGACCTCATTTTTTTAGTAGAGTATTTGGAGGTGACGGGGGTGTCAGGATGCTTGCGCACCGGCACCGCATTTTGCGGCTCAGGATGGCACGAGTGTGACCACCCCCTGCGAGCATCGCTTCCACGAGGCTTGCTTGGAAAGGCCGAGGGGTCCGAACCGAATTGGCCGCGTGCCGCCACGGTCGTTTTTGTTGCTGCCCCGCTGGAAAACAAAATATGGCGGGTGTGTTTTTGTGTGTCTTTTTTCAGACCTCCAAAGATTTGTTTTTTGGTTGCGTTTTTTTGTGTCTTTTTTCAGGGGACCCTCAAAGGGTTTTTTTTGGTGGCCCTTTTAACTTCCCGTCAAAACCACAGAACACAGGTACCCTGAAAACGGCGTATACCGATACCCCATGTTTGGTCCTCTAGATGTCCCATCGGATGCCAAACTGATCCACTACCCTGCGGCGCATGAAGCGCCGGAGAGTCGACAGGCATGGGTGTTTCCTTGAAGGGACAGTTTGCCTTGAACCGGCCAGAAACAGAGGGTCCAATAGTCTCACACTTTAGGAAGCACCAGTGTTTTTGTTTTTCGGATGTGAAGGAACATGAAAACCCCACTTGACTAAGTACCTCTCGCCAGATCGAAGGGAAGCCCTGGCTCCATTGCTCACATCGATCCTGGGGTCCAATGGTTTAATAATACTTTAAAACGATCGCATAACAACTCCTCCTGCGCCGGAGAAGAAAAAATATTCGCCCTCGGCGGCAACGCCATGTCCACAAGTCAACGTCTCCGTCCGAAAAACAAAAAGAATGTCTCCGTCCGCGTGAGGTGGATGGACGTGAAAATGGAGTGCCCCACCTGCCGACGGCCGCTGCCTCCAATGTGAGGATCGCCCGATTTTCTCGCCATCCGACGGGGAGGAAAAAAGTAAAAATCCGGCGGCCGCCTGGGGCCACGCCTTGGGCGCAGCTGTGATTGGAACTCTTTGCAGCCAAAAAATGGCGGCTGCCATTGTTGTTTTTTCCTTTTTTTGGGGTGTTGGGTGTGCCTTTGTAAACTCAACCAACAAAAATAGGTGCCCCTTGTTTTTTCTCCATGGAAATCCGCTGGGCATCTGAGGGAAGCCAACAGACTGCCAAGCGCTTGGACAGGTGGTCGGGAGCCGACGGTGTCGGCCGATGTGTCATGTGGCTGTGGTTGTCAAAAACTAGCACCCAAAATGGAACCCGATCGGCAAATGGAAACATGGACTAAAAGCTGCGTTTTGTTTGGTGATGTTTTTGTTTGACCCATACCCATATCACGCTCCAGCTTGGTTTTTCGTTTTGGTTTCCATTTGACCCTTCGGGCCGATCGCTTGATTTTTTGTAAAGCGTCGGGGCTGCAGAAAGGAACCTGAGCCACGGCTGAGGTTTGGCTGCCTGGGCTGTGGCTGCGGCTGTGGGGTCCTTGTATTTCCCCATTGGTGGTTTTAAATATATCACCTCTTTGGCCCATGTGCGGTGAGCTTCCCTTCGGGGTGATGTGTTAAGGGGAAATATGGGGAACCCTGTGTGTCTCCAATACAGTTTTTTTTCAATCATGGAATCCAATCCCAGGGCTGGCCGCCAAAGAAGTTAGCAAGGCAGGTGTGGATCCGTCGAAATGTGTTCTAATGAGTCAAGAAAGGAGCACCAACTTCGGGCGCTGTCCAAGGCATGGGCAACAGGACCATGATGGGGGAACTCATGGCGACTACCATTTTTCAAGTGGCGTGTCCGCTTTCACGGTTGGAAGAGTGTCAATGAACAACCAGCACCCTCCAAGCCTCCAAGTGTGTTGATGTCCTGACCTCCACATGCTGCCCAACAAGCAGTCCTTGAGAAAGGTCAACATCTTGCAAGTTTTGGGCAAGTCTCACGGCGCGCAGAGGACCTTGCTCCTTCTCGAGTCATTCACCGCAGTCATTTGGCTCATATCTGAGTTTCGCATGCAAGAGGAACCAACTGAATTAGCCGAGTCAACTGCTTTGCGTGATCATCGGAATGCAATGAATCTAAGCCAAAGCTTGGTTCACACGGTGAGACTTGAAGAAATTGCACACTGTGCACCATGGTGCTGAGAAGGCAAGCGCTCGAGTCACGTGCTGGTCAAATCATTATTCTTTCGTCTTCCGGAACCTGGCGCCGTGAGAGCTGTGCTGAAGATCATAGACTACCGAACCCCAAAAAAGGCCTCCCATCAAAGAAGGTGCATTTAGAAATTCAATGGGCGCAGGCGTCGTAAGTATCGCTGAGCCGCATATGTGTTGCTCAGCTGGAAGCCCTCAGAGGCCACTAAGCTGTTGCTCTGAAAGCCTTGACACATGTGAGAAATCAGGGCATCTGTCGAACAAACTAGTTGAACTTCCTCTAGGTCTCAGTTTGACGCATGCATTCGACCATTCGGCGTTTTCCGTACCGCGGTATCGCTCTCCAAATTTGTTTTACGACAAGACCAACTATGGACTAACATATATAAACTCAGCTGCTAAGTGACGGCCTTGTTTCCTTTTTTTCTCCTAGCCTCGGAAGTGCAACAAATCAGCATCCAGAGATCAAATAAACATCCAACCGCCTTGGTGGCTCCCAGCCATCCGGTTCCTCAGCTTTTTACATCCTTTTGGTGCTTTTTCGTGGTGGTTTTCATCAAACCACTAAAACTTAAAAACTTTTTGCCGGGGATCTGAAAACGGGCAGCCCAGAACCTGTCGCCAGGCCAAGCAGTCGCCAAGGCAGGCTGAGTGAAACCGCCCAGCTTCAGCTTGTTGCCCCCATGTCTTCCCCCGAATTAGTTCCCGTTTCTACTTTTTTGCTTTGTGGGGTCTCTTTTTTTTCCACTAACCAGGCAATTATTATTATAATTATTTTTGCTGGGGTCCTAGTTCCAGCCAAGATGTATGGAAAGTCACAAGCCAGGCAGTGGAAAGGGAAGTGGATAGCGAACAAATCCGCGTCGCACCGCTTGACAATAGATTTCTGAAAGCCTCCAACTGGCGCCTTGCATGATTTGGTCCGCCAGGCGTCGGCGGAGTTGAGCTGGCCAGGCCCTGAGTCAAAGTTTGGCAACATGTTTGGGCCTGTCTTTGTTTGGGGGACTTCCGTTTTGGTTGGTTTGAAGGCAAGAGGAAGAGGAAGCACAAAGAGGAAGCACCAAGAGGAAACCAGCCATTTCCGGAGGTCTCACAAAAAAAGGACAAAACCCGTTGCCCTGTACTTGGCCATGGCCGACACACGCGCAAAAACCAAGCGGAAGGGTCCCTGGAAATCGACCTCTCCGGAGTTGCTCAAGGTCCCAAGCTCCGCATGGGAATCGGCCAGAAGGCGCTTGAAGCAGCCAGTGGCTAAAGGCCGGGATCGGATGACTTTTGGGTTCCCCAGCCAGGTGCCCTTTCTCAAAAAGCTTTTTGGGTTGGGAGGGTTCCCCTAAACCGCAAAAAGTTGGTACTATTCTAACCTCTCTGGAGGACCTAGATTTGGGTTTGCCAGGGTAAAAATCGCGAATCGCTATGGTCGCGACAAGTGCTTCACTAGCGACTGGCCAATGCCAGTCGCAAAATAAATTTGAGGTTGCACACAATGTGTGTTTCAAAAAAATATGGACCCCTCAAGGTATGGTGTCCTTTTGGTCTCCCTTCAAAATCATCCTATTTTGAGAAGCCCCCACTTGTTTGTCTCCAGCGCAATATCGTGAGCGTCGTTTCAATCGGTACCGCTTGCGGAAACCCAGGCGACTGACAGCTAACTCGTGCCTTCTAGGTCAGGCAATCGAATAGACGTGGCCGATCGAAGATAGACTTGTCAGATGCAATGGTTTCACTGAAGCAGCCCATTCAGCCCTTGCCCGAGTTGATCATAGTGCGGATCCCAACTGACGATTCGTTTGATTTCTTCTAAGCAGGTGTGTCTCAGAACTGGAGACCCCCACGTTAGTTGTCGTGGTAACAGGTTGTATTTCCGTCCAGCAAGGGGTTACTCCACCCAGCACGGGTACTCCACTAGCCGCGTGTGTTTCCCTTGTGAACTCTCCATGTGGTCAAAACAAGGCAAATCTCAAGACGCGGGTGTTGCTGGATTTAATGCAGTATCTGATGAACAAAGGTAGCCCACCTGAGCCAGATCCGTGAACTTTTCAACTGAAACGCATGCTTGCAATAGTTAGAAACTCACAATGGTTGGTTGTTGGGTTGTCATTCCCCCATTCGTTTTTCATGCCTAACCGTTTACCATAGCAAACACCGATTGAACTGTTCAAGCATCAACTAATTGAGTCAACGCTATTGCGCCCAACCAAACCACAATACCAGATGTTTGTCTCCGGCCTCCGGCCACCCATGCACGAATTCGATCTTACTCAAACATACTCAAATACTCAAACAAACTGGTTGTATCCGGCCTCCGGCCACCGACACGAATTCGATTCACTCAAACAAACATGAGCATGTCGAAGGTCTCGACACGCATTTTCCCGGCCTGGCCATGCGGAGGCCACTGGCCCGGGCTGTGCGCCTGCGTCTTTGTGGGCGGCCGCCTGCGGATGGTGGAGGAGCTGGGCTTCGCCTGCGCGCCCAGAGTTTAGCCGAGAAAAACTCGCGCGGTGCGGTTGGATCCCCACCCCCTCAAACATGGAATTGGGGGAGGGGGGTGACCCCTGGAGATCTCCATTGGTGGTTCCATTTTCCCTTTTGTGGGGAAGAGAATGGAATTTGTTGGGGAAGACTCAGCTTTCTCATTTGGAGGGTGCCTGGAATTTAGGGGGGAACCAACAGGAAAGCCACTCATTTTTGGGGGGTTCCCTCACAAAACTTGGTGGCTCCCAGCCATCCGGTTCAACTTAGCCTTTTAGATATTTTTAGTGTTTAGTGGTTGGATTTTTCCAATTCAGCCACTAAAAGTTGAACTTTTAGCGGGGGATCGGAGGACAGCCCAGTGTTTGTTGTTTTTTTTTAGCGCGGAAAGACAAAGACACTGGCTTGTCTTTCTTTGAGCATACCCCGATTGTTTTTGTTTGTTTCTTTCAATCGAGAACCAAACAGAAAAGCAAAGAGACACCCACCCAGCATCTTTTGGACGCAGTGATGTATTGGGTGGGGAAGGAGAAGGCCACAAAAACAAACAAGTCAGCGTGCGACATGCACAGGGAATGCGTCAGCTAGTCAAGTGTCATGGGGACCCAGGATGAGATTATGACCAAACCCCCAGTTGAGGAACAGGGAGGTGCTCTTACTTCTTCAATTGTTGGATCTTTATGGTGTTGTGAAGATCAAACAAAACTGGTGGACAATGGGAACCCAGGCTTAGTAATCCCCAATATTGATCAATTGCGGGCGTCCCAGATTGCAGGGTTACAGGTGGTCCTTCACTTTTGCGGGGGCTATTGGGTGTCAGGGGTCGTTTCAGGCGGACATCGAGGCAAAGACGCCCATGACGCGGAAGACGCTGATGAGGGCCAGGCCCTCATCGGGTCGAATGCCCTGGAGACTTTAGGGGTGGGTTGGCTTCCATGTTTTTTTTTTTTGTTTTTTTGTTTTTTTAAGTTTAGACTCATACGGCTGGGAGTCAAAACCAATGGGCTCGATCCCATTTTGGTTGGTAGGTGAATTCACCGCCCATTTTAGAACCTATTTTAGTGGGGATTGGGATGTTCACTGGGGGTACCGGGTTTTGACCCATGGCCATACCCAGGTACCATCAGCGCCTAAAAATGTAGAATTTGGCTGGGAGGATACTCGGAAACTAAAAGTCATGATAGGAATGTATGTATTTGATTAGCCCCCTGACATCAGGCTGGCCATGGCTGCCAGCATGTTTTTAGCATGGGTCCCACAGCAGTGTTCCCATGCGCGCCTCAGCGGTCTATCTGTGGTTTTTTGGGTGGGACATCGGGAGACTCAATACATGTCCAGAGAAACTTAAGCATTTGTCCCATGTCCTTTGCGCGAATCGCGCATGTTGACTGTGACTTAGGTGAGTGTTGTTGTTCCTTGCGGCGTTGTGTTTTTGAGATTGTTCAAATGGAAGCCGTGAAAAAAACAGCCAAGGTTCCCCCGTTTGGAGACACTCCGAATTCTCGGTTGGGCTCCAGATTTTCTCATTGCTTGTGTTTTGCGGTGCTTTCATGACCCACGCTTGGTGAGGTTTACTCGATGTCAAAGTGCATCGTTGCAGCCGCTGTGATGCAGCTGATAGAGGACAGACTGCATGGGAGAGTCCGGTTAAGGGTAGACATTGCAGCCCTCTTCCCCCCCCACAAAGGTTCTGCGGACCCTTCCAAGAGCCCTTTCACTCCTTTTCAACAGAATTCAGAATTCTACTAACCTTTCCTAGGGTGTGGTGCTGTTTGCTTGCTTGAACACTGACACCTTCCAGAACTGAGCGGTTGCCGGTATGATTGAAGCAGATGAATCAAATACAGAGCTCGTGCGGACGTGTCTCGGCAAATTTCAATTGGATGCCGAAATGAGTGATTGGCGCTCCAGTGCGTTCACCCTCCCGCAATCAAGATGGGTGTGTCTTGAAATAGGACTCCCCCCCAAAAAAAAACAGCCAAACAAAAAAATAAGAATGGTTTTCCACCTGGTTTCCCGTATAACTAAATGAAGCGATGAATAGATAGATAGTTGCACCAAGTGCAGCAGGGCCAAATCCATTGGCTCAGATGGTCAGTGGCTCAGAGTGTCGCCTTCGCAGGCAGGGCGCATCAGCTTGGATGATGAGCTCAGCAAGCACATCCCCGCCTTTGCGGACGTGAAGGCGAGGGGAATCTGGCCATCACAGGGCTCCTTTGGTGCATTTGCCAAGGGATGCTAGGACTTTAGCTTGCCAACTAAGGGTTTTCCGTATTAAACCACTAAAAGTTAGTCACTTTTAGCAGAGCAGATTTCGCAACCGAGGGTTCATTGCTGCGCTGGTTGGAGGGGAATTGTCCCTTCTCAGCATGGCTTCAAGGCAGACAAAAAGGAAGATCAGCTTCGTTTTTCCACCCCCTTAATATATATATATATATATATGTATATGTTTGTTTTTGTTTGATAAAAGTTTGTCTTTTTGGGGGGGTGACCCTCATTTCACACCAACTGTTTGTTCAGTTCCCCAAAACTAACTGTCTGTAGCCAGGTTTCCTCATTTTTGTGTAGAGCAATGTTGAGTCTGCTTTAATAGTCCACCATCTTAAACAGTGCCAACCTTTAGAGGGAATGGGGGCTGCCAATTATATTTAGTATTGCTACTACTTACTCTCACATGAGCAGAGATTTTTGTTGGAGGGCCCGGAGGCGCGTAGGCTGGAATAGTGTGCCTGCGCAGTCCGCGCAGGCCGCGTAGGCTTTTTGCGTAGGAACTGCTTCCGCGTAAGCTGAAACCTGTTCACATGCAGCTCGCGTAGGCTCGAGTAGGCTTCCGCGGAGTTTCCCTTTTCATGTACCCAAAAAATTATCTGCTCACATGTCCAGATCTCAGATGAAACTCCCCTTTAAAAATGATTGCCAAAGCTTTGATCTGATAATTTTATACCCACCCGAAAAAGCTTGGGCATTAAAGCGATCCTCAAACCAGTCAGAGTAGGGTCAGGGGCTCTGCTGGGGTTCCAATTTGCGTGACTGTTTGGCCTCGGCTTGTGAATGTGTACAAAACATGATGGTTTGGGGACCACGTTGAAAAGAGGCAACTCTAGATGTAAGGCCTTTCGCAAGGAAGGGCTTAGGATAAACCGCCCTTCAAAAGTAGAAGGCAAAGGCTTTATTCTTTGAATGTCACACCCACTCAGAAAAAAATATATAAAAAAATACTTGACATTGACGCGACCCTCGAAACAGTCAGATTAATGCAGAGGCAGGGGCTTTTGTGGGATACCCCTTCGTGTGACTAGTTGGCATTTTTGTTAATATGATGTCTATGCTGTAGTGGAAAAATGTCTTGGAATTCAATCACAGGACATTCTCAATCTAAGTGTGGCCTGGAGATCAATAACCCTTTAAACGTAACGGGCTGCGGCTTTGATCTGGTATCGTTTCCTTTTGTTTGCCAGGATTCGTGCCCGGCTGCTGTGTGTTGCTCTCTCGTTGTTTGGCAACTTACTTTCTATTGTGGTGACCCTCCAAACAGCCACAGGATTCTGAATTAGAGAAACTACTTTCCGCACTACCCGGCCGAGGATTTAAAGCTGGTCCGACATTAGACTCAATCGCATTGCTTCCCCCTTTCATAGTGGGCAAGCCGATTTTGGATTGCCCAGCACCGTGGCTTGGTGCACGGGCCCTACCGTCCTCCCGGAAATGGAGCGTCATTTGCATGGTGTGAGAATACCGCCCTGAAGATTTACAAGCCCCAAATTGGTGTCGCCTCAGTTCTTCTAGTGCCTTTGGGTTCCGTGTTTTGGCATTTTCAGGGGGGTATTCGAATCAACGCGCAGCAATCCGGTCAGTTGCGCTGACATGAACTGAGTGGAAATATGTTCAAGTTCTGGGATGCCCTAGGTAGGGTGTGGGTTATTTGAATTGATCCAGTGTTCAACAATTAAGGTACTCGTATCTGTTTGTCGGTTTTGGGGTGCCCTTCTCCTGCCAAAAGCTGGCTAGATGTTGGCTCATGGGTTCGTGGAAAGCTGTTGGTTCCGTCCCACAGCGGGTTGCCCGGCTGCACCCATGAAGCTTCCGTTTGGAGAACCCAGATCCCTTAAGAGACTATATATAGGATCATACTATCCCTTTCTGAAGGCCCTAAGAGCTTCCATGGAACGGGTAAATCCGAAGGGAGAGAGAGAGAGAGAGAGAAAAAAAAAAAAAGAGCAGAGAGGCAGAAAGGCAGAGAGGCAGAGAGAGGCAGAGAGAGGCAGAGAGAGGCAGAGAGAGGCAGAGAGAGGCAGAGAGAGGCAGAGAGAGGCAGAGAGAGGCAGAGAGAGGCAGAGAGAGGCAGAGAGAGGCAGAGAGAGGCAGAGAGAGGCAGAGAGAGGCAGAGAGAGGCAGAGAGAGGCAGAGAGAGGCAGAGAGAGGCAGAGAGAGGCAGAGAGAGGCAGAGAGAGGCAGAGAGAGAGGCAGAGAGAGGCAGAGAGAGGCAGAGAGAGGCAGAGAGAGGCAGAGAGAGGCAGAGAGAGGCAGAGAGAGGCAGAGAGAGGCAGAGAGAGGGAGAGAGAGGCAGAGAGAGGGAGAGAGGCAGAGAGAGGCAGAGAGAGGCAGAGAGAGGCAGAGAGAGGCAGAGAGAGGCAGAGAGAGGCAGAGAGAGGCAGAGAGAGGGAGAGAGAGGCAGAGAGAGGGAGAGAGAGGCAGAGAGAGGCAGAGAGAGGGAGAGAGAGGCAGAGAGAGTCAGAGAGGGAGAGAGGCAGAGAGAGGCAGAGAGAGGCAGAGAGAGGCGCAGAGAGAGGCAGAGAGAGGCAGAGAGAGGCAGAGAGAGGCAGAGGGAGAGAGAGCGAGAGGGAGTGAGCTCAAGCAGAGGACAGGGTGCATTCTTGTCTTGTTCCCGCGCTCACAGTATCGCTGCGTTTAAGGTTTATACGCGTGCACTAATATAGGAGGCTCAACACATTGGCACAAAAAGAAACGAGGTGGGTCCAGGTGTCAGGAAATGGTATCCAGGAAGAGACCTCTAATTTAAGACCGTGAGACACTGCTTTTGTTGACCCAAGATGAAGAGCTAGCAATTACGCACATCCTGCTTATTTGGGTTCGAAAGTCCCCCATCCATATGATCAACCCCCAAAAATGGTTGAGAAGTTGGAGTTGGAGACGTGGCATCCTCATGATCCACATCGCCAGGTTGTCATGGAGGGGCCGGATGGACTGCTACGGCCTCTGGCTTTCGGGCTTCGCGTTGCTGAAGCCCCACTGATTTCTCACCCCTGCGCTTGGTTTCGTGAATGCGCCGGAAACCACCGGCTTGACAGGGGGATCTGGAGGAGGTAAGTTTTGCACTTGCCCGAATGTACCTCTTATTCGGGAGCCTGCTGAAGGACTTCGGGGGTTCAGTCCCTAAACTCACGGAAAGGTCTGGACTCTTGCTGCTTCAATCAGCCGGGCAGCGGTCCTTGGGATACGTTTTGAAGACTTCCTAGGCTGTTTTTAAGGGACGAGCAAACAAGCAGGGGATGACCTGGTGCAGCACTGATCATGCCAACAATGGGGAACTCATATATGGAGAAAACCTCGTCTCACATTTGGCCCAGTCGCAGGACGGGATAGCCTGGCAGATGTTTGTTTACTTCTGTTGGACGGGCAATCCCAGCCTATCCCTGTCCAAGGCCCGACTTCAACAGGCGCGGACTTGAAGTTGTTCTTTTTCCAATCATGGAATCCAGGAGGGTTGTGTGACAACTACTCTACCTTTTGGGGAAGTCACAGTCCATTTTCATGATTGAAAATAGGGTACCCGCGTACCCTGATTACCTATATGTTTGGGATATCGAGGGCCCACCCGAATGTCCTCGAAAAGTCAAGGATTACACGCAGTCAGGGTGCAAAGGCTGCTAGTGTCATGTACATGCAGGGCACTAGTCGCCCGCTCCAAAGCGACGCAGGAACTACACCTGTTCTTGGTGGATCCCAGCCATCCCCTTAGCCTTTTAGCTTTTCAGTGTTTAATGGGGATGTCCATTTGACCCACTAAAAGTTATACTTTTCGCGTGGGATCTGAGAACAGCCCAGTGTTTTTCCCCCGGGGACAGATTCGCGATGCGGTCAGCGTCTGCGGGTTTACGCCAGACTGGTGCCCAGTCGTCGCCCCATCCGTATTCGTCACCTGCCCGGAGCCCCGGACAGATTTGCCATTGTTGTTGGGAAACATTTTGCATTTTTGCTTATTGTGGTTTAGTGATTGAAATCCCCACTTCGCTGCCAAAAATACGGTCTATTTTTGCTCCCCTTCCAACGTCAACCAAGTTGCGGGGTTCGACGATTTTACCGCCTCCCCGAATTGGTGAAAAACCGGATCCCTTGACGTCCCTTGAGTAGGTCGAGAACCGGATCCCTGGTTGGATAAATCCCGCTCAGGAGAATTACGAGCTGGGGTCATGAACCGCGTGCCAACTGGGGTCATGCAAGTAGCCGAGGTTTTTGCTGAACTGGACTAAGTGTGTGATGGTGTGTGTGTGTGTGTGTGCAGTCATGCACATACATGTGTATATTATCACATGCACATATATATATATATATGCACATGCAGGATACAGATACAGCATGCACATACAGTTTTGCCTTCGCGGCACGCATGGCCAGCAGCCACCCCATGCCCCGAAGAGGGCGACAGTATGCCAATGGAGCGTTAGGTTTATTTAATAATATAGAAACAACGCTCAATCTCGATGAAGAGCCAGTAAAATTAGCCTTCATGATGGTTTAATCCGTCATCGAACTGTTTATGCAATGTGTTTTGTTGCCATCAGCCATGGCAGAAGTACTAGTCGCAACATCTTTACATTCGTCATCCTTCGCAACTTGTTCGGAATCATGTCGATCTTCATTCACATCATCCACAAAAGCAATGGCCACAACTGTGCTTTTCGTTTTCATGTGTCCAAATTCCTCTTGGAGCTCCTCAGTGTTGACGGACCAGATGTGTTGACGCAACGAATTTCATCGGCACTTCGTCCACTGTCATAATCCCTTGCCGTTGGGACATCCGCATCACGGAACAATGTCAAAGTAGATGCCACAGAGGTCTTGCGGTCGATGTTGTTCATCGGCAGGACCTTTGGACAATAGAAACTCCACTGCTCTTGGCAAGTGTTTGTTTAGTCTGTTGTTTGGTTCTGGTCATGTTTAGTTGGGGGCTGCAGAACGTTATACGATTGGGTTCGGTATTGGTTTTCAATTTGAGGAATGACTTTCTTTGAGATTTGATCACCATGCTAGAGCAAAAGTAGTTGTCATTGACATGGTTCGATTTCATCATCATTATGCTAAACAGGTCCAGAAGTTACAAGTAGAACAAGGAAAGCTGCCGGTGTTCAATAAAGTAGTCCACGACGGCAGCGAACTAATGAAAGTGGGACTGGTAGTATACATAGTCGGTTAATGCAAGCTTTATTCCGTTTTGTCGTACAAGATCTGATGTTGTCATTTCATTGTACTATTAAAGTGGAAGGAATAGAGGTTTGTATACTGTATGTGCTTGACAGTTATTTATCTGCATTGCTGTGCTTACTCAGGTCACCTAGCTAGGCCCCCTTGTCAGATGAATGGCCCGTGCCTGTGGAAGAAGCCTGGGCCAGACTTCTAGGTCCCAAGTGAGCGTGAGGTGTTCTCCACATGTTAGTTTGCCTTTGACCAACTTTCAGGACCAACTTTTAGAGGGTACCTTTGGGGATGTCACAGACTTAGAGGACCCAGTACAAGGGGATGTTCAATTCAATATGCTTGGACAATGGTACTGTTATTGTCGGTACGCCTAAACTTCTGACATATCACCGTGGCAACATAACCTGCCACCCCTCGCCGGTGAAGGGCTCGATAAGCGTTAGGGCAAGAGAGGGCCAACTGAGCCACAATCAAAACCCGGGTAGATGAAGGTTAGAAAGGAAAACAACCCAACCATAAATGGGTTTTTATTATGCCTGCTATGAGGCCCCACCAACCTACCAACCTGCGAACTTACCAGCCTACCGACCAACCAGCCAACCAGCCAGCCAACCAACCAACCAACAAACCAACCAAGCAGAGGTCAACTCAGGCCGGACCCCCGCACGATTCAGGTCTTTGGGGCGGTTTTTGTTTTTTTTTGTTTCCCCGCATAACTGAAAGCTATGGGGTTTTAACTTCTTAGTTGAGAAGGGAAGTGACTTGCGACATTGACGGCTGGGTATGCCTATGTAATGTGTTTTTGTTTTTGTGTGTGTGTGTGTGTTTGTTTTTCCAACCAACCCACCAACCAACCAACCAACCAACCAACCAACCAACCAACCAACCAACCAACCAACCAACCAACCAACCAACCAACCCACTCACCAACCAACCAACCCACCAACCACCCACCACCCACCCACCCACCCACCCACCAACCAACCAACCAACCAACCAACCCACCCACCCACCAACCAACCAACCAACCAACCCACCCACCAACCAACCAACCAACCAACCAACCAGGTCTTTGGAAAGTTGTTTTTTTCCTTTTTCTTCTGAGGCTGACGCACACCTCCGGCATCTCTTGTGGCTTGGCACCCGAGCTCGACGGCCCCAAGCAGAGGACTCTTCGACTCTTCGCGCGGGCCGGGTGGGATGGGGGCGGGGGATGTTTGGTGCATGGGGAGACGTGGGGACTTCCCCAGAATTCGCTCCCCTTTTTTGTTGTTGTTTTGTTTGGGGTCCCTTTGTTTTCCACTAACCAGGCAAAAAAGATGATTTCTTGCAGGGGTCATAATTCCAGCATAGGGGTGGGGTGGCGTGGGGTGGGGTGGCGTGGAGTGGGGGGGGTGACGGGGTGGGGGCATCAGTGCATGTGTTTAAGTGATTCCGCAGTGAGGCGTTTTTTTTGGCGCATCCTTGTAAGGACTTGCGACCAGCGTGTGTTCATGTGTTTCAATACTCATTGCTATGCTGTCCCGACCGGCAACGCGAGTTTCGTCTCCCAGATGGGAAGGGGGATGTCCCTTTGAGTGTCCCAACCCATGCAACACCGTCTTTGGGCCCTTGGCCGCGGGCCACCCTTCACCGGCCTGGAGCTGGTTTTGCCTTGCGTGGGAACTTACGTGCCGGCGCCTCCCGTGCACCACCTCTTTGCCCCGCCGCTCTTGGCCACCAGCCAGCCACCCCACCAAAGAACCGGAAACAACAGCGTCGCAAGAGAGAAGTGGCTGGTCAAAATGACCTACCCAAAATGGGTCACCCAGGCAAATGGAACCAAGGACTAAAAAACCTGCGGTCCAATTCCTGGTGGTGACTAATTTGGACCCATACCGGAACTGGACAAGTGGAGTTCTGGTCGCGTTTTTGCCGTATCTGCGGGTTGGGCCTCAGTTGACTCACTAAGAGCCACCCGGCAAGACAGTTACAGACACTCGGGATTAGCATCGTCGGCCATGCAAAGGCTGCTCAAAGCGCTTTATCACGTGGGAGCATCCAAAAGTTTGGATTAGTTTGCCCCAAGTGGCTCGCGCAGGTGAAACAATGTTCGTTCTTACCCCATTTTAAACGGCCACGCCAGCCAACGATGTCCGCCACGTTTTTTTTCGGGCAACCCCAGGAGCCAACCACACATCACCAGGCGTATCATGTAAGGGTCCCTGTTACATCATGCCTTTGGGCAACTGCAACTTCATTCTTTCATTGGTCCATCTACTAGTTTGCACACCTAGACGGCATGTCCAGGACGGCGCGTGAACGCGCATGGGCACCAGTCTCAGACTGCAAGCGCCAAGTGAAGGGGTGGGCGTCTCGCAATGCGCAAGGCCGCATTCCCTTTTTCTGGGATCTCTTTTGAAACTACTGTGGATGGACAAAATCCATTCGGCACCAGTTTGAAACCATGGTTAAAAGAGTTAAAAGCATTGTTTGTTGGTATTTAAAGGGGGACCATCATTCCAGGGATTGTTTGGTGGTGCGAAATGGATTTCGTCCATCCACTGTATGTTTTGCAGCTATCCCGGAGGGTCCAAGTACCTTCTAAGGAGGCACTTGGACCCCTTTTTACTCCCAGAAGCCATCCTCAGGAGCTACTTGGACCCTCTGGGTATCTTACATTTTTCAAGTTCACGGTTCGCTGAAAGGGGGCGGGCAAAAGCTGAGGTAGTTTTGGGAATATAGAAGAACCTTCTAAAAGTGTTGCCGTAGTTTCGCAAAAGGGGGAGGGTCGAAAGGCAAACACTGATAAGCAACCCCAGTCAAGTGGTTGCAACCCGTTTTGGTTTCCCCTTAAAGCCAGGCTGGATGTTCCCCTTTTTGGGGCAGAATGGTGAGACAAGAGGGGTTGACAATTCAGTGGCCATGTTGACCATTTTTGGGTGCGTCACCTCTGAACGGTCGGGCAACATGTCACACCCAGTACTTCCAGTTATCAATATAGTAGGCAACCAGGGTAAATCATGATGTAACACCTGGCAAGAGACTCGGGTTCCCTATAGTGGCTTGCCTAGAACCCAAACAATTGCGGTGTTCCTTGCGGTTCCCTGTTTTACAGACCTGAACAGGTGGCTGTTATGTTTGCTAGGTCGTCCAGTAGTGCCCTTCTCTCCCCTTTTTGGGCTGGGAGGGTTCCCCGAAAAATCGACTACAGAAAAAAAAAAATGGTACTCTTTTTCTAAGCTCCAAAGCTGGAGGACCTAGCTGTGGTTTCCATTTAAGCTGACCTTAGGGTACCAAAATTGCCGGAAGCCTGCCGGCAGGCTGGGATCTACACAGCCTTGGTAGATCGCCAGGTCCCAAGTGAGCGCCAGGGACTAACCATCCGATGGGTGCTCGAGCAATTTTAACGACCGGGGGCGTGACAAATTGGGCTCACTCTGTGGCTGTGGTGGTCAAAACCGTTTTGGGATCCCATTTTGGTTGGTAGGAGTCACCACCCATGTTAGAACCTATTTTAGTGGGGATTGGGATGTTTGCTTGGGGTACGGGATTTTGACCCATGGCCATCTAGCTCCTTTACTCGGGGATCCAATTCTTGATTCAGGTTTGGACGTTGGACTTGTTGCATGGTTTTCCCACAACCAAGTCGGGTCGCGAGCAAGATGTTCAGTCTATTGTCCATTTCAGGACTCGCAAATCTCACAGAAAAACCAGTTGAGACTAATTGTCCCATCTCCATTTCAAGAAACCATCAATCTTTGACTGAGACTCATGTGCCGGAGATGCACAGGCCATGTGTAATCGGAGCTGGGGTTTTGGACGCCATGAGACTTGGTGAAGCATGGCGAAGCGTATCGCGTGCCTTTGTTTGAAGTGTCGCCTTGTTGGGTTCTAATTGATTTAAACTTTGTTTTACATCCAAGAAGATATGCTAGTTGTTTAACAAACACGTAATGATTGATGAACATGAAACTAACATGGTTGAGGAATGGTTAGCTTTTCGTGTTTCTTGGGTTGCCTTTTTTTTTTCTGGGGATGGTTTACGGGGAAGCGACCGCATTTTGGGGACCCGGTAGGTGTGGACCGTGGCGATGCGAAGGACCTGGCGGATTGGGCGCCCCTGGCGAGTCGCTTTGGGCGAGTCCTTTCGTTTATCCCTGGAGTCTCCCTAAGGACCCGATTTTTAAAAATGGGTCCATGGACAACCATTCTTTTGGGTAGTGACCAACCATTTTTTAGTCTCTGTGTAGGGTTCATTTCCCAACTTTTCGAAGCTGAATTTGATCACCGTAGGCTTCCGACCTGTTCCAACCTGGAGTCTCCCTAAGGACCCGAAATTAAAATGGGGCAATGACCCCGTGAGTTTTGGTATTGACCAACCATTTTTTTAAGGGTCATGGAGACTCCAGGTGTCCTTTCTTAGGGGACTCACCCCCTCCCCAAATGGAGTTTGTTCGGCCAATGTCCTCTCACTGTTCGGGCCCGTCGGGCCCGTCAGGCCCGTCGGGCCCGTCAGGCCCGTTGGGCCCATCGGGCCCGTCGAGCCCGTCGGGCCCGGGAAGCTTGTCGGGACCGTCAAGGCCGACGAAAGAGGAGGCTATTAACTTGACGCAGTCATTGACACGAGGCTGCCGTTTATTTTTTTCCTCGAGCTCACGCCCACAAACGCTCTCATCCCAGAAGCCAATGCCCTCCAAATCGCACCAGCACGGCCGCTCGGAGCCCACATCCCACCAGCACGGCCCCGTTGAAAGCTCCCCGCACCCATCGCACCAGAGATGCTTTTGGGAAAACAGGTGCCGGGAGCTCTGGTTATGCTAGGCACATGGTTCGAACTTGATAGAAGCCAATACTGTTGCGCGCGCGTGTGTCTGCTCCACTTACATGCCCTGTTGGCCTACTCATCTTTCTATCTAGCCATCTGCCTGCCTATTCATCCACCGAGGTCTTTGTGCATCTATCCATCTACCTGTCCATTCTTTTGTTTGTCCATCCGTTTGTCCATCAACGCATCTGCGCATTTCCCAACGTATTTGTTTCTAGTTCCACAGGGCCTCTGGTCTTTTCGCGGCGTTTCAGCTGTTTTTCGCTGTTTCGGTGTCAGGTCCAGTTTTGGATTTTGCGATTGCTGCTTCTGCGATGCCTGACCGTATCTCCAATTGACTTTCGTGCACTGTGTGATGATCAGAACGTTCTGTGGTCTTCGTGGGTCTCTTGTGTCTCGCGTTCTCGCCAGGCGCTGCCTTCGCTTTTGGCGGCTGCTGCGTATGTATTGTCTCCACGTGTACCGTCAAGTAGATGCCCGCCAACTTTATCATATCACGATGTTTTGAGGTGAGGCTGAGAGCATCAAGTAGATGCCCGCCAACCAGCTTGCGAAGATGTGCAGCTGCAAAGAAATTTGGTGGTGTGATCTGATTTGCTGTTTTCTCTGAAAAACATTAGTTTGGAGGAATTCTAAAACCACAGTTGTTCATTGAGAAAAGCTGAAATCATTGGCAGGCGCATTGAAACCAAGAAGGGTGAAGATTGAAAATCACCACGCGCCTCATGGCGTAATGACCTATTTGTTTGAATCTGTCTATGTATGCATCGGTCTACCTATCTACCTGTCCATCTATCTGTCCATCTACCTACCGATCTTTCTTTCTGTCTACCTTTCTCTTCTTCAGTTTCGTCTACCTGTCTCTGTCCATCTACCTACTTATCCATCTACCACCAATCCAAGATATGTTAATCGGATCCATCTATGCACCTATCTATCTATATTTACCTATCTATCTATCTGTCTGTCTGTCTATCTATCTATCTATCTATCTACTATCTCTCCTACCTTTGTAAATTTCTATCAACATGTCACAATGCCTACCAACATGACACAATATCTATCACTATCGATCCATTTGTCTGTCGTTCTATCGTTAGATATCGTTAGCCAATGATCTGTCTTTTCGCTTAAGGCCTCCCAGCGCGTGGAGCCCGTCATGCCCGTCGAGCCCGTTGTCCCGATAGGTTGAGCCCGTCACACGCGCGAGGCCCGTCAAGCCCCTGAAGCTGTCGGGCCCGTCAGGCCCATCAAACCCGTCAGGCCCATCAGGCCCGTCTGGCCCGTCTGGCCCGTCGGGCCCGTGAACGGTGAGCGGCCGCTTCTCGTTTGTTCTTTGGCTTCCCCTCAAAACCACAGAAGAAGAAGATACTCTCAACAAAAGCTCTTAAAAACGACGCCCCTTTTTTGGTTTTCCTTTACTCCCTCTTTCAGTTGGTCTTCAGACCATATGGCGAAGAAAAAGGCGTTGGACTGCAAATGTTTGAGTCTCCCGGCCAAAACGGGCATCCTTCAAGGTCACTGGCGACCCGGGATATGTTTTTGGTCGATGGGGTGCTTCGAGTCAGAAAATGCTTGCTGGTGCTCAGGGAATGAGAAATGGAATGATCCCTATAAATTTATCAACCATCCAACTGGTGGTTTCTTTTTTCGGGGACCAAAGCAACTGGGTTCATTCAAGCAAGAATATTGTTCGGGGCCACCTCGAGTCCTCAGAGCCCCCAGAGCCCCAGCAATTGGTGCCCTTCTCTCGCGCTTCTTTTTTGGTTGGGAGGGTTACCCTACTAAAATCGACAAAACCGAAGGAAAACAAAAAGGAATCGGGCGCCAACTTATTCTGTCCTCCAAAACTGGAGCACCTAGCCATGGCTTATTGTTTTCAAGCTCCCCAGAACCTGAATCCCTAGGCAATAGGCCACGACGCCGTCAAAGCACATGCTTGGTTGGGGTTGCGGGTTGTCATGGACCGCAAGGAATCGTAGGCAAGCATCATGAAAGTTCTTTGTATAAAAAAAAAAAAACATGACCATCGCTAACAGGGTTGTGGGATTAAGCGGTTTATCCCCACCTCTGTATGAAGGGAGTCTCCTCTTTACATGCCCTTTGTTCTTGTATCACAGGTCATTTTTCATCACTAAGGTAAAGAGTGTGGACATTGGCTACGCCAGCACCAGTTTGTGCAAAGTTTCGCTTGCACTCCTGTTGCTTGGAATGGATGAACCTGAATTGAATACGGGGAATCATTACCGACTCAGGTAAAGGATGCTGTGCATACACAATATTGCCGCAAATCTTCATTGGCTGCGGTACTTGGTTCGGACAAGTTATAACCCACTTGTAAGTCCCCCGAAGTGGGGTTCACCTTGTCATACGGGCGTTATACCCCAAATGGCAAACCACATACTTGGCGATGTCGAACATCCAAGTGGACGGACGAGTGTTTCGGAACGTGCGAGCCTTTTTTTTCCGCTGCGGTGGAGCGGCACCCCCTCCGGGAAGGCGCCGGCTCTGTGGTCTTTGGGTTATCAAAGACATAAACCCTCGAGGGTTTAGGAGCTCTTTGGAGCGGATCCACAGAGAATTTTTTTCCAGCTAGCGCCAATTTGTGCATCAGTCAAGGGGGTCATGTTTCAAGTGTGCAATCCGAGCATGTAATACAAGCACCCATTGAAGGGTCACGTTTCCCGTACCTGAGGTCTTCTCCGGTCCTATTTAATTTGAGGTAGGACCAAATATGGGGTTCTAGTAGGGCCCTAAGCCCTAAATCCTAGGGTGCACAAACCTGGCTCGCGACGCCGAATTGGAGGTGGCGGACCTGGCAAAGTTGCCCTTGCAAAGCCACCCAGGCGCGATGCTCAACGGCTTGGGTATCAAAGTAATCTTGCTGATGCGATAAGTAGGGAATGAGCGAGTCCGGGTGTTGAGAATGAACCGGAGGCGGATTCCCTTAAAGGAAACCATAGGGGATGGTTTATAGGGGTCATTCCCTCATTCCCTGCTGAGAACTAGCAGGTCGTTTCAGCGGCGTTTTTTGGCGCGCGGCGGCGAATTTAGTAGAGGGACATTATAATGGAAAGTGTGCGAGGAAGCTTGAATGTCAAATCAAGTTTAAGCGAATAATAAACAACGCTCATTTGGAACCCATGGCTCTCTCGCATGGTCATCGGATTGGCCTCAAGATGTCAACAATTTGTCTACCATTTGGGTGTGTTTTGTTGAGGGTATTCCTTTTGAGGGTGGGTTGAAAGGGGAAAACACAGGACAACTGTCATATTTGGGGTCACCCTAGTTTGACACCCACCATGACATGAGTTTGTCTTTCTTTGAGGGAACCCACGAACGGGTGGTTGCCGTGGGTACCCCCCTCCCAAACAAAGCGGCACCCTCAACCAAAAGACACACCCACATAATTCTGGGTGTGTGTGAATTTAAGCATACCCTTTGCTCGATGATAAAGTCTCTGCGTCTCGAAAGTGTCTTTGGTTTTGCGTTGGCCCGCGTTTTTTGGGGGGGTCAAAGACAGGTCCATGATTTGGAGCCAGAGCCGTGTGGGTATGTCCTGGGCACCTTTGCAGCTGAAAAGAGATGCCGCATTAGGGAAGACCTGCAGCTGACCCCTTTGAGAGCGCCCGTTTTCTTTCAAGAGTTCGAAAGAAGGGGCAACCATTCTGAGCCTCGAAAGCTCTTGAACATGTCTTGATGCTGACTATTGACCAGAGTCGGAAGATGCGATGTTGGGTGTCTGTAGCCGGGCCAAACTTCTGAGGCACTGTTTCATTGATTCATGTTCCCATGTTGCGGTAGAATGGAGGATTGGCCATGAGTACACAAGAGGCAACCTGTTTGCCGGCTTGGGCAAACTGGGCTTTCGCAAGGCATCCGAGGCCAAACGGGTGATTTTTTTGTTTTTCCCTCCAAAAAGGGAGCCCATTTGGCTGTGGCTCAAAAATAGGTAGTTAAAATGGAACCTTTGTAAATGGACACATGGACTAAAACCTGTGGTCCCCTTGTGGTTTAATTTTGACCCACACCCATTTTGAAGTGGGAACCATGGGCAATTCCAGGGGAACTATGAAAATCCTCCGCATGCAAACCGTTACAAGAAGGAAGCGCAGCGATTCGATTGCGATTCGCCGGCCGGCGGCGCCTCGAGGCACTTCTTATGCCTATGGGTACAGCTGGGATCTTACAAATCTGAAAGCACGCTGGTAAACCCGGCTGAGAGCTGTCTTGGTTTCTTGCGCCTGCTTTCATCGATGTGAACTGTTTCAAGTCTCTCTTTGAACGGGAAACTGCGTTGCGTTGCACTTGCCGGAGGCGCTCCACTTTGAAGTGACTGCAACCCTTTTCCGTGGTTTCGAAGGGAACCCGATCAGATTCCAACCATTTCTACTGTGTGTGAAGGATCCCCAACATACTCCGCCTCAAGGACATGTATTCGGGTGGAATAAGGCAAAAACCCTTTAAAACGAGGGCTGCGACAAGGTGCAAACCCCTGACACACGAAGGCGACTCTTCAAAACGAAGCCTCCAGAGATATTCCATGGTTGCACCTTAATTTTGGAGATAGCTCATGTCCACTTAAGTTTAATAATCGGGTCCGATTTGTTTTTTTGTTAATGGGCCAGCCAGATCCTTCTTCACTCAGTCTCATGTCTTGCTTTCCTGGACTTTATTTTCTTGGGGAACACCACTTTGGTGTTTAATTACAAGCAAGCTCAGACTTTTTGTTGGCCCGCCTACTCAGGAAGTGATCAATACTAAACCCAGATGAAGCAGGGGCCAATTCTGAAGTTACTTGACGAAACATACACGGCCGACCCCGCAACGACAATGAATGAGCCACCCCAAAAACTGACACGGATCAAATTTCCCAACTGCCCGCAGGCCAAAATTTCAAGGAGATATAGGAAGCAAGTCCTCAAGGATCAGGTCTGCAGAAAAAGGAGAGCTTTGAAACTCGCGATTTTCCTTTGAACTAGCTCCCGTGCGGGGGGGGGGCTGTTCTGAACGTTGCCCTGCAAAAATGAAAACATTGCTTTCGGGCTTATCTTCCTTCATGGGGTCCCTGCCATGAGTCCGCAAAGTGCTTAAAAGCAGTAAAACTGCACATTGAGTGGGGGTGGGTAAACATTGGGAACCCATGACTGGATCCTATGATTGACTGGGGGTTGGTATACCCTGGGACACCTAATTTAAAGGTTTTTCGTGGAATTCGACCAACTTCAAATTAGGATGTGTTTTGGAGCATTTGAGTAGCATTTGAGCAGATTCGACCAACATCTTCAAATTAGGACGTGTTTTGGAGTATTTGAGTAGCATTTGAGTAGCATTTGATCAGCATTTGAGCAGATTCGACCAAAACCTTCAAATTAGGATGTGTTTTGGAGTATTTGAGCAGCATTTGAGGAGCATTTGAGTAGCATTTGAGTAGCATTTGAGCAGCATTTGAGCAGATTCGACGAAAATCTTCAAATTAGGATGTGTTTTGGAGTATTTGAGTAGCATTTGGGTCATCATGCCAATTGTCCATTGGCTCAGATGATAAACTGCTGACCTTGAACATGAAGTGGCAGCATCAAGGTTCATGTGCCCAGAGAAAAATGTAGCAAATCTAGCTTTTTAGTCACTATTTGAGCAATGTCCATTTATGTCGCAAAAAGAGTTTAAATAGCGCTTTTTAGGTACCATTTGAGCAAAGAGCACATTACTTTTGGGGGACCTCTTTTGGGCGCTCATGCAGGTGACCCCATGATTCCTTCCTAGGGCATTTCGTTGCTGCGCGTGGGGGTCGCGCTTCTTGTTGCCCACCAAGCATGTGCCTTTGCATCGACGCCAATCTCACAAAGCATTTGAGGGCATGCAAGTCCTGGTCTGGGGAACATGGTGTCAAGAATCTAGGGAAAGACGACAGCGCTCAGCATCATATTAAGAAAAACACAAATGCGCAACAGAACTGGCAGGCGTGGGGCAACCGGACAGTGAGCATGAACAGATCCGCTAGTAATACCACTTGGGTGAGTGTGGAACCGTGCAAGATCGCCATGCGACCATGCCAAAGTGTAAAACATATGCAGATTCAACAGGGTAGCAAGTGGCGACGATAGCAACAACAAGTGCCAGGAGAGGAACTATAAGTACCACAAGTAGTACAACAAGTACTCTAAGAAGTACTGCAAGCACTACAAGCAGTACTACGAGTACTACAAGCGAGTGCAGACAAGACCACAACCCCAAAAACATATTAATCCGGAGCTTTGTCCCAGAAAGGAAAAATCACTTGGGGACCCGCTTAAGCGGGGGGGGGGTTCTCAATTTGTTTGAGAAACCATTGTAGTTGTGCTGTCGAGCACTTGCGCTGTTTGGTCAATGAGGCTATGACATCTTGGGGCACTTGGTGGAGCTCACATCAGGCGAGATGTCCGTTTGTGTATCCGAGGCTTGCAGCGGTGGTCTCAGTTGTGGCACCAAATATGTTCCTTTTTTTTAGTGGCTGCCCCACTAAACATGGTCTTCCCAAAAAAGGGTTGCCTTTTTTTCCAGGTTCACTGAACAACAGGTTCACTTTTTTTCCAGGTTCACTGAACAACTGTGTGGTTGGTGTTGCCCCCCCCCCCCCCCCCACCGGTTTTGTTGGAGGAGGCTTCCCTTTAAAACCCAATTGAAAGCAAGGGTTGTTCTCTGGAGTTCTTGCGCAGTTGGGAGATGCAAGCTTTTCCCAAAATCAAGTTGGCTCCCTTGCGGTAGGTCTTCAGAATGCAAAGTGAGAGACGGCATGAGTAACTAGTTGTCTTTGGATACCCCTGCTTCGGCTGAAGCAAGCCCACTTGATCTTTTGGACCTTCCTTGCCCCTGTCGCAGGGAAGAAGCTGGGCCGCTATCTTCAAGATCACGTCTTCAAGCCCTTGGGCATGCGCGAGGGCCTCAGCATGGCCTTTGGTGCATGTCCCCTTCGCCTCTGAAGGGGATGGAGTTCCCTTGAGATGTTCAACTTCAGGGCTGCCAGTGTTTTCTCTCCCAGCACTGGAATGGAGGGTTCGCAAGCTCCCAATGTGGAAGGGGAAGGAACGTGGTAAAACGATTCTGGCACCTGACAGCCCCCGTCCGAGCCCATGTAGCGTGGGTATGTTGTTTTGCTCTGAATGTTTGTACCCTCACTGAGGGTTGTTTGAAAGAACAGCCAAAGGATAAACCACCACATTTGAGGTTCCCCTGTGCAAAGTAAAGTTACATGTTGATCCGCGGGTGGAATCATTCATGAAAGGTAGGATATATATATATATGTATTTATTTGTTTCTTCATTTATTCATTTATTTATTTGTTTATTCATGCGTTTATTCAGTTATTTATTTATGTGTTTACTTATTTGTTTGTGTACGCCCATTTGCTGAAATGAATATGTTTCTTGTTCGCCGGTCGGTTTTAAAGGGAATCGATTTCACTACTGGATTTTGTTTATCTATTTATAAGGAGTAGAGGGGATAGGTTCGATCATGTTGAGGGACGTCAGCTGCTTCATCTCAGAACTTGTTCCATTGCCTCTAAGACAGGTTCCACCTCCTCCAAAGAAAACAGGATTCCACGGGTGGTTTCTGGGGTTTCTGTATATATATATATATATATTCGTAGGCAAACTATGGACCAGAGTCTGAACTTATTCTTGTTCGGCCCGGCGCGATGGCGTTCGAGCGGAGCGAGGTGATACCGGCTTTGAGCTCCAAACGTCCTCGCGGCGCCTGGGTGTGCTGTACCGGCAGCGGCCTGAAAATGGTCGACTCGAATGGGTGAGGGTGGAGGGCCCCACTCTGGTATCCTGATCTTCATGAAAAGGGGAGCACTTTTAGAGGGGTCAGCAGCAACCAAGTCATTTTGGCACTTGTTTCCATTGCCTGATGAAAGGGGGTGACTTGGATTGTGCAAAAAATGGCACCAGAAACTGCTATGCCCTCTCACTTGAGCCACAATCAAAGACTGGGTAGTTTGTAGGATAAATGGAGGCTGCGCGTTTATTTGGATCTTAAAAACTTTGCTTATACCAGGTTTTGATGACTCACTTGGGGTTGGTAGAGATGGTCATGACCCCAAAAAGAATTGCAGCAACCATTGTGCTGGTTCCCCTTGAAGGAACGACCAGTAAGTCCCAAACCTCTGTCAAACAGGCTCAAGCCGCTCAAACCGTGCTTGCGTGAGCTTAAGCATTTCAATCTGCAATGCAGTTTGGGAGACGTCGCGATGTCGCACTCCGTAAAGTTTGGCCTCCTTTGGCAGGGCTCTATGGTGGTCTCTATTCGTCTCAACAGTCTCAATGCCCGGATGAGATGTTTGAGACCGCTCATCTGTTTTGGGCGTCGCTGGAGTTCCATGAGACAGGGGTGAGGCTATGAAAGATTGGCTTTTTCACTTCCCCTCCCTTCCACTAACATGGCACCTGTTGGAGGGTACCTGGAAGGTCGTCTCTTGTAGGGACCCCCTGTCAGGTGCCATGATAGTGGGAGGGAGTGTGCTTTCTGTGATGCAAATGCTACCAACAATGGTCAAGAAAGAAACAGCAAGATCAGAAACAAACCATTTTACGTTCAACCTGTTCAACGAACACATTTGCACATCAGAAACATCGGAAGACGCGTCAAAACAGCGGTTTTTTACCTTTAGTGGAGGCCTGGGAACTGCAAAAAAATGTGCCCTCCGGCGAACTTCCATCAGCCATTGGCCCCTTTTTTTTTCCGGATGCCCCGTTCAATACCGGGGTGTGGATTGCTTGGGAGTATTTGTATTCTATGGAATTTGTGACAGGCGCTCAACACATTGATGCGGCCGGTGGCTCTTCTTTGTGGTTGAAGCTGCTTTCTGGTTGTGTCGCCATCCGTGAACACGAGGCTTCTTTCCTTATGAGCGCTCCTTCAACTATTTCTAGGGTCAGAGACCTTACCCTATGATTGGATCTCTCCCCGGTCGATGATGTTTTGATCAAAATCAACCCAGGTGTCCCTTGTGGTTCTTATGCGCCCTGGATGGAGGATCCAACTCTATCTATGAAAGGGCTACGAGCCTGATTTGGGAGACTAGCCAAGAACAAGATCTGATTGTGTTCACGTTATTGACGAGCTTGTTCAGACGGTGTCTCTCTGGAGAACTTTGCCCATTGCATTCAATGACTGGACTCTGATTCGGCTCTCGGACCTTGGCGGTGCTAATTTGCCGTGATGGTTCCTCTTAAGGGCGCAAGAACGAGCTGGGCTTTCTTTAAGGGAGTGACCCAATCGTATCAAGTAGTCAAGGGAATGACCCATCGCCATCCCTGTCAAGGGATCAGTTCGTCAAAGAAGTAACCCACATCCCCGGTTCAGTGATTACGTGATAACGTCTTTCGGGGCAAAGACAAAGCGACGTCACTGGAGGGTTGGTGCAGGAAGAAGGTCCCCTGTTCTTTTGGTGGTTGGTGTACCGTTATTTCTCCAAAGTTAAGGGAAACAGCGATCGGTTTTTGAAAAGAACGATGATTGAAAAGAAGGACCATGAATCAACCTAGAAAACGGTTTGAGTTGTGACCAACCCCCCAAGAGAATGGGGTCAATGTTCGCTGACGGGCTCCGCGTTTTTCGCCTTTTCCGAGGCGCACCAAGTCTCGGCTCTGGGGCAGCAACGGCCGAAGCTTCCGGCTGGTGCGGGTGGATCCGGTGAAAGGCGGCCGGGGGTTGGTCGTGTTGATCCCGCTCGGAGTGCTGATCCGTTTTGTTATATTTTTTTTTGGGTGTGTGTGTGTGTTTATATATATATATACACCAATTGAAGACCATTGGGTTAAACTGGCGCCAGCCCCTTTTGACCTTGTTTTAAACTGGCGCCACCCAAAAAAGCTCGGCGTTTGCCTTTGGACCTTGGTCTAAACTGACGCCACAGCCCAAAAAGACGTCAGCGTTTTGCCTTTTCACCTTGGATTAAACTGACGCTAGCCAAAAATTGCCTTTTCACCTTGGTTTAAACTGACGCCACCCAAAACGCCCTCGGTGTTTGCCTTGTGACCTTGGTCTGAACTGACGCCAACCCAAAAACAGATGCCGGTTTTGGGTTGCCCTATCTTGACGCATCAAGTCTGTTGCATAGGTGTCATTTTTGGTTTGTGGAAAAGATTAGAGGGCCATCGTTTCCTGCTTTACCTGGTGGTTTTTCTCATCTACCAGGGAAATCCATCAATATTTCCCGGAGAAAAGGACACCTATGGCCTGCTGGCTTCGCCAGGCAAGCGCAGCCGCTGGGCCAAGGTCTGCAAAGTGCCCTCCGCCGGCGGAGGTCTCGTCGAACAATGAGGGGCGAGGGATGGTTCCTCGGGAAAAAATGAATGCACTTCCCTTTTTTCTCCCTTTTTCCCTTTCTTTTTCTTTCCAATTTTTCCCTTTTTGTGGCACCAATTATTTTCCCCTTTTTTCAGTGGCTGCCCTACTAAAGATGGTCTTCCCAAAAAAGGTCCCCTTTTTGCCAGGGTCACTGAACAGCTGAGTGGAAGGAACCCAAAAGTACTTCACCAAAAGGGAGGATTCCTGTCAAGATGCATGGTGTGGGTGCCGCGGATTTGCAGAGGGCGCTTTTTTTTGAGGGTGACAAGACATGGAAGACCATTCTAGGCATGAACCAGGTGAGGGGTTGATCAAGGCCTTTACATGGGACGACCATTGGGAAATCCCAGTCAAAAGACCATACGTCCCACATGGGAAAAAATACCCATGGTCCTTTGGAGGCCGAACGGAATGTTGATCAAACCTTCGGTGAACAACTGGATGGTGAGTCGGGGCTGCATCTCGGCCAGGCCTGTCCAGCTTAGAAGGCGGCCTGTCGCGATCTCAGACGCGGGATTTGATGAGACTTCCATTTGCTGAAATGAATATGTTTTTTAGCTTCTCCTGTTGGTTTTCAAGGGAATCTATGACTACTGGACATATTTCTATTTTGTTTCCAGGGGGCTTAAGCAAATGGAAGGAGACGAGTCGTTGGCCACAAAACGACCCCCAAGGGTTGTCGCAGATACTTTTTGGAATCTCCCCCTTATGGGGGGGTAGTCTTTGGGGCTAGGCCCTTTTTGTTGCATCACATAAGTGGATTCCATTTCCCATAGGGAAGCCTTTGGGTCACTTTGGGATTTGTGTCCAAGCGTTGATGTGCTGGCGCCACACAACTGCAACTAGGTTTTTTAGTAGTGCCCTTCTCCCTTTTTGGGGGCAGGGTTTCCCTACTAAAATAGACAACAGAAAAAATCGGGCACCAACTTATTCTAACCTCTCTGGAGGACCTAGGGAAGCTGCTTTCCTTCCGGGCACTGCAAGCGCAAGCTGGCTGGCGACAAGGCTCAGTACCATGGATGACTACGCGCGACGGCCAAGCAAGGGAGAACCTGGTTTGCCACTAGCAAGAGTCGGGTCTACTGTGGCGGAAACTGCTTGCCAGGGGCACCTTTCTCCCCTTTTCAAGTTTGCTGGAGGGGGTGGGAGGAGTCCCCACTAAAATGTGGTCCCTAAGAATGCCTGTTTTCCTCTGGGGTCATTGGGCTGGGAGAACGGTTCTGTGCTCGACACGTTCCAGGCGAAGTTTCTGCTGATGGTTACATCTGGTGGCACGCACCCCGCTGGTGCAGAGTGCTTAGTGTGGAAAGGTTGCAACGCCGCCATGTGGCTGCGGCTCAAATAGAAAAGCTTGGGGTTACGCAGTCCTCATTATTTTGCCATGATCAAACTCATCCAAGTGGGTTAAAGGGCAACAACCAACCATTTTCTGACTTTGACAACCTCCCAGAAACCATCAACAACTCAATTACGCAGGTTTTCGTGCTTTCCACTTATCAAGACCCATTTTGGGTGCCAGGTTTTGAGTGCCAGTCATTTTGTCACCTGAGGGTCAGCGCATTCTCGGCAAGCAGTCTGCGGATTTCATGATGAGCGTGGGGTGCCTAGCACTCAAGTTGAACAATTGCCCCCCTCGTAACTTTTTGTGCAAGGTGAACCCCGGAAGTAAAATCAACCAACCAAAAAAGCATGCCTTGTTTCCCCTATGGCCACCATTATGAGGATCCCGTGCTCGGGGATCCCTTATGTCCGGTGTAAAGTTTGCAGAAGAACACCCCCAAGATAGCAATTTCACCCAACGGGTATAGTGACGAACAACAAGCAGGGTTCTTCTACCCAATAATGGCGATGGCGATAACTATTGGGTTACCTTCCAATGGAGGACCATGTGCAAAGGTGCCTGGGCAACTGGGCAAGCGGGAAATGCCAAGGGTCAAAAGCCGCACATGTCTCACACGCGCGAAAAATAGCCAACTGTTGCACAGCGAAAGTCTGTAACACAGACTTCTCACTCGTCCCAATGCCCCAGGAACTCTGTTTTGGGTTCGGGGTTGCCTCGCAGCGATGGGCCTCGATTTCTATTCTCATGTTTTTACATGGCCAAGACTCCTCACTTCCTGAGTTCCCTGACTTGAGTCACTTTTTGAAAAGACCGTTTTGGTGGCAAATAAAAGCTCAGACTGTTTGTGCCACTCAGGAAGTTAGAGACTCAAAGATTCCAGGGCCAGAAACCAGTTCAGCCTTCAGCTGACATGTCGCGAGTGCTGCCTCCAAACTGGAGTACAACCATCGCTTGCCAAGACCGCTTACCTTGTTCAGTGCTACGCAAGCGGAACGAACAGCAACATATAGCCCACAGAATTCGAGTGAGGTACTTCACAGTGATGAGCACCTTTGATTGGGGGCAACCAGAAAAGTCTGGGTTGAAAACCTCCCTGGCTCAACCACTGGGCTATCCCAGAGGTTTATGGCCTCGAACATCCGTTGAGCTAGCCAAAACCAGACACCTGAGCATACTTTGACGGTTTGCGGAGTTGGGGTAAAAATAGGCAGCAACCCGAGTTACAAGGGCTCATGATTGTGGGCGATATGCTTAAAGAGTGCCACTTGTTTTGATAGCAAATCATTGGTATGGCCTACATTGGCATCACAGAACAGGCTATGTTCCACAACCATGCAAGAGTTTGAAAGCCTCTTTACTGAGGGCAGACGGACAGCCGTCAACGGGTGTTTTGGTGCATGCCAAGACTGGATTGGGGGAAGTTGTGTGGGCCCCATTAAAGTAGTGTAGTATTGGCTGGCAGTCGATGGGAAAAAAGGCAGTCTTCAGCATGTGTATTACTGGGGCAGCATTATTAGGGGCCAGTGTGCGACCTAACCTTTCATAGGCATAACTGGTTCCAGTTAATGAAGAGGGGGTGTATTTGTTTGAGGGTACCCCCCCATGTTTTGCTTTAAAGGGAAGCCAAAAGGAACACTGCCATTTTTTGGGCACCCCAAAAAACAGAACAACAGGTCACGCTGAGCGGGCTCTTCTTTGTGATTATATTGTTTCGTTCAGGAAACACATGTTTCTTCCATTTCTTTGGAAAGAGTGTGAACAACTTTGAGAACACCCCCCAAAAAGAAAACACGGGGGAAAAAAGACCCCCCCCCCCCTCTCAAAAGGCCACCCCCGCCCATCACAGCTCCAACCATGGATTCTGCCGTGTTTCTTTCGAGGACTTCTGCGAGCTGTTGCGAGTCAATGGTCGACTTCCAAGCTGCAGGAGCGCCCAGTTGCTCAGTAGAGTGGTATGTCGACCCCGCATGAATAGACGCCCCTGTTTATTCATACGGGTGTGTTCAGTTCCCCAAGTTTTCGTGGGGATTCCGGCCTTGTGGCCGTTGAATAAACAGGGGTTTCTGAATCCGGGGTCAACGTATTGCCTGGGAGATGTTCGGTCACTGCCAAGACTTGAATCATAACTTATGTCCGGGCCCATGCTTTGTGCTTCCAGGCTAGGCTGGGGTTCCTCCTGTGCCGCGAGTGAAAAAAAATCAGCCGTCGCCTGTGTTTTTTTCTTTGTTTTTCTCCTCTTTTTTTTTTGATCCCGAGGACTCGAGTCCTGGGAACCCATTCAAAGGCTCAGTGGTTCAGCGGCACCGATTCTTGTTCCACCTTTTTTTTAGTGACTGCCCCACTAAAAATGGTCTTCCCCAAAAAAGGTTCCCCTTTTTTTCCAGCGTGACTGAACAACTGAGAAGGGGCTTCAGCCTTTGAAATCAGTTCGGAGTTTCCCAAAGGTGTTCAAGCCACACGATCATCTCTTGATTGTCGCGGTAGCAACAGAAAAGCAACAGGAATCTCCAGAGAAACACATATTGTGTTCCCTTAACAGAATATTGCTCGAGGTGTCCTTGAAGTATTTCACCCCGTTGTCAGGGTCTCTCAATTCGTCGTTGTTCAACATCGCCTTGTGCATCTCTGCTGTGCCATGTAGTTAATTATTGAGGGAGGGACCATGTTTCCTTGGAGTCAAGGTTGTAATAGCTAGCCAGTCCTCGATCGATTCCTCAGAAGCAAACCATGATGTGGCGTAACCGCGGACTGGTTGAATGCAGGCTGCTGAGCCGTGGTGAGGCTCGACTTCTTCTTCAGAATACATTGTCAACTTGGTTGTAGGCGAATAAATCCAGTTGCTTCTGCAAATGCAAGAATCCTCCGCAAAGTGGCGCAAATAGGGCTCAAAGGATCTCTGAAGATACCCCTGTACAACCAAGAGGACAATGCTGGCGCGCAAGCTACCAAGTGCTCAGTATGTGACTGAAAGCCACTGCGGGATGCACAACAGAGCACCAATCATGCCATGCATTCCACACGCAGTACAAGGCTTCCTACATTGCTGAAAGGCTTGATAAACATGGACTACCGTAACCCCCCCCCCCCTCCCCGTAGTCTGGGGATCGGGGGGGAGTACTTTGCGCAGTTGAGGTGAGGATCTGGGCCCGGCCCAAAACAAGAGCATATCCATTTGTCAGACAATTAACCCAATAGGTTGGTAATCCCAGTTCACAAGTTTACGAGAGCTTACGATTTTTTGGGCCAGACCCGAAAGAAGAACCTTCCAGCGCCGGTTGTGACCTGGGGTGATGCGCTCTGTAGTGGGTACAGCAGCCAGGAGCAAGAGCAGCGACATCCAAGCAACTCACCGTGCGTTGCTGCCATTCTTGAATCTGGGGCTCTGGCGTGATCCATGCTCTGGGAAACACAAGCATTATGCTTCGCGATAACTACAATATGGCCCAGACTACGACTGCCCTCAGTCAGCCTGTCAGCTAGTCATTTTCCTACTTACCCAGCTCCCAGCTTGCAACCAAAGCTGCAGCAATGCTGCAGCTCAAAGCGCATGGAGCTTGTTTCTGGTGTTTGGCGCCCCGCTCCAGAATGTGGCCCGCGCGTCGACTGCCAGTACTCCCAAATCTGCCGCCTAAGTGGCCACAGCTCGCTTCAAGAACTGGGGGTTAGGTTGTAGTTGAACCAGCGAAGCATTGATAGGAAGAAAGTTGGAACCTACATACCCCACCTCTTGCTTCAACAAAGGTTTTGCTACGCTCGCTGCGGAACATTTGTCAATGGTCGAGTCGTGGTTGGGCGGGTCGTGCGCAATGCTGTTTACGCTGTTGCGCCAGGTGCAAGAGCAGCTGAGGAACGCAAGCAACTGACCTTGCTTTTGCTGCCATTCTGGGGTATCCAGCACATCCAGGCAACGGAGGTTGCCTTTGCTGCCATTCTTGAATCCGTGGCTGCAGCCAAGCGCAAGAACAAGCACATCCAGCAACTTGCCTTGTTTTTGCTGCCATTCTTGAATCCGCGGCCGTTGGGACCTGGGGTGAGCCAGAATACGGCGGAGACAGCAGCCAGGTGCAAGAGAAGCTGAGGAATGTGCTTCTGCAGCAATTCTTGAATCTGGGGCTGTCGTCACTTGGGGTGATCCCGAGGCAGCAGCCAGGTGCAAGAGCAGCTGAGGAACGTCCAGCGCATCCAAGCAACTGAGGCTTCTTTTGCTGCTATTCTTGCTTCTGGGGCTGTTGTGACCTGGGGTCATCAGAAATTATTATTGGCGGAGACAGCAGCCGCGTGCAACAGCAGCTGTCCAGCGCATCGAAGCAACTGAGGTTTCTTTTGCTGCTACTCTTGATTCTGGAGCTGTTGTGACCTGGGGTCATTCAGAAATTGGCGGAGACGGCGCTGCCTCGATCTGGAGCATCGCAAGCAGGGAAGCTTTGGTGAGCTGCAGTTCAGCTTGGTGTCTGAGAAAACCAAAACCAGGTCCCTCAGCAGTGCCCTTTCTCACCCCTTTTTTGGTTGGGAGGGTTCCCCTTCTAGAATAGACAGAAGAAAAAAACGGGCACCAACTTGTTCTAACTTCTCTATTGGAAGACCTTTTCATAATACGATTCCACTCTTGAACTGACGCATACCCAACGTGGCCATGAATTTCAATACGAGACCTCAAAAGCGGACATGAACCAAAAACCTTGATGTCCACCAACAACACCCACACAAATTCCAATTTCCGGGACCAAACCAAACCAAATCCATTTGGGTGTGGGTCAAAATCAATCCACCAAAGACCGCAGGTGTTATTTTTTGGTTCCATTTGCCAGGGTGAGTGACCCTTTTGTGTACCTATCTTTGACCCACACCAATTTCAGCTTACCGCTCACCCCTCGCCCCAGACGTTTGCGCCGCTGCGAACCCCAGGCGCGCGGCCTTACGACGACCCCGGCTTGGGCTTGAGCGGCCTCGGGGAGCTGCTCCGCCGCTCCGGCGATCGCATGCGGTCCGACGTGTCTCAACTCGGGTTGGATGTTCGGACCCACAACAAACCCTTGCCTCTTAAAAACACAACTTTTCAACTTTTTGGGTAACATGGGCTATATGTCTGTAAAAGATTAACTTCCCCAGGGCTTGGAGTTTTAAGGGGTAAGAACCTTCCCCAGAAGCTGGCGACCCACCGGAAACGAATCATCGTTCCAACTGCTTCCAGGTACCGCTAGAGAAAGTAGCCAGGGTTTTGTTACCTCCAGGTTTTACACAGGGCTCCTTCCAAGGTACATTTCGCAACCATTTGAAACGTGGTTTTTTCAACACCAAAATTAAGAGAAACAACCATTTACAAGGCAATGTTCAGGTGTATCATGTAAGGATCCCTGATCGGAGCCACAAACAAACCAGGGGAATGGAAGGTTGGATGGTGAATGGGACACAAGAATCTCACCATCCCACCATTCCTTTCTTAGTCTTGGAAAGGCGAGTTGGAAGGACAATAATAATAAGGAAAGAGATATGAATAGAGACATAAAGGGTTTGCACAAGCGACCAAAGGGAGACCTTGTGTTTTTTCCCGCTTGGTTTCCCTTCACCAACCAGAAACACGACAACAAGTGGCTGTCCTGGTGCTTTTTTTCGTCGGTTGGTTGAACCCTTTATGCTGTTCCTGCTGGTTCCCTTTAGACCCACCTCAACAAAGGCACCCTCAAAACATATACATGTATTTGTGTTGCCCAAGACGACAGTGGAGCATCAAATTTCGGTCCCTGGTTTGTTGAAATTTCGAGCTAGTTCCCCCTTCTCGTCCCTCCCAATCGAACCAAAAACAAAATTGATATGCGTTTCTTGGGGCTCGGTCCCCAGCGCAAAGAACACCCGTCACCGCTTTCAGGGTCCAAATCCTATGGCTCGTACTGTTTCTTACCCGCTTTACAATCATGGAGCCTAGGCGGGTTCTTGAAGAAGACTCTCCTTCCGGGCAGCGAAATCTAGTTGGAACACTTCCAAATAGGTGGCTGCAAAAAAACATATCAAGTTTGATCCCCAAGTAGTGTCATACTCAGACAGGAGTTGGAGCCACCCAAAGATTGTGACGCCACCTCAAAGATGCAGTTTTCAATGGTTTGCAACGCTTGTTTGGACCCCTTCCCCAATGAGGTTTCCATTGGGTCTCACTTTGCAAAAAGGTTTTGATGGGGAACTTGGGAATTCAACGCTCTTACATTGCTGAAAGACTTGGCATGGGGGAACATTCAGGAGCAAGCAGACATTGATTGGAACTTCGAACCCTTCGTGGATGGAACCACCGATCCCAAACAGGGACCCCTTCCACATGATGTGGTTTTCTTCTGAAGCGCGTTTGTTCCCTGTAGCATCAAGGTGCCTTTTTTTGGACTACTAGGTAGAGTTCAACCCAACCAGCCCTATCTGCACTTGGTCCCCCGGCCATCCGGTTCCTTGGCCTTTCAGCTTTGGATTTCCATTTGACCCACTTAAAAGTCAAAAAAACACCTTTTAGCGTGGGATCTGAGGACAGCCCTGCATCTACCTTGGGCTTTGGCTAGTGTCCGAGGCCAGCGGGCGCCCTGCTGGGGCCGATGGTGAGCCCGGAAGGATAAACTTGTTCGATCGCTGGCCGGACTTGGGATCTGAAAAATTAGTTTCGGGAACTTGGCTAGGTGCCCCAGTAGTGCCCTTTCTCACCCCTTTCTTGTTTGGGAGGAAACCCCCTACTGAAATAGACTGCAGAAAAAAGGGCATCCTTATTCTAACCTCTCTACTGGAGGACCTAGTTGGGAACTCAAACTTCCATTCGCTGAAAAGCTTTGATTTTGTAATTTTCCTCTGTTGGTTTTTAAAGGGAATCGATTTCACTTCGAATTTGTCCAAGGAGCTCAAGCAAATGGAAGTAAAGAGTACCAACCAAAGATACACAGTTTCCCGCTTTTGTTTGGATTCCTTTGCTAGTTGCTTTCCCTTTTTGCTTTTGGGAACTGTCTATAGTATTCACCAAGAAGAAAGTCAAGCTCGGTGCACTTTGGGCAATATCCACGAAGCTTGGAATTGATCCACATCCCCAGGTTCGCAAAATATGCACCAGGATCCACCATGTTTGATTCGGGGGCACAAGCTGAGGTTGTTGAAGCCTCTTGAAAGCGGCGCAACATGTCGCCGGAGTTAAGGTCAACTTGTGTGCAAAGCATGGGACCCTTGTCTGCTTCGGTTTGAAAGACCAATCCATGTTGAAGAAAAAAAGGAGACTCCGAGAGCAGATTGAACCTCAGGGATTTGGAAGACTTGTGCTGCATGTTTTTTTCTGCGGCGTAGAAGCACTCTTGCCGGAGGTAGCTACTACAGTACTCTTGGATTGTGAATCCTTGCTAGGCTACAAAAGACTTCTCTTCCAACCTATCCTTCTAACCGTTGCCCTTTGTTTGGGTTCCCGCTTCGGAGACCCACTACCAAAACACGTGCATCTTGCCTTTTTCCCTTGCGGTAGGAAATCCATGTGGCTGTGGGTCCAAATTACACCACCAGCGGACCGCTGCTTTTAGTCCCAAATTCCATTTACCAAGGTTCCATTTTTGGGTACCGATTTTTGACCCACTGCCATGTAAATCCAGCAGGGTATGTCCAGTGTAGCTCCACTGCCGTTGATCTCGTGGACTTGTCAGGTTCGACGGCGTGCCGGGAGTGCTGCAATGGGGCGGTGCAGCAAGCTGCGCGCACGGGGCCCGGCAAGCAGTTTTCGTCCAGTCCATGTTGACTACCCCAAGCTAGGGGATCGACGAACCACCCCTAAAAAGCAATTATACGTGAACCTTGAAAGTCAAGAAATGGAATCCTGGAGTGTCTTCCCGTCTTGTTCCGGTTTTGTCCGCCACCAGACTTTGTGCTTGGCATTCAGCTTCAAATCCGAGCTGCATTCGACTTGGTGAGCACTGTCCCCAGTTTTTGATGCGATGTCCCAACAGTCCAACATCAGGTTACCCCCCCCAAAAAAAGACTCCCCATCCCACATTCGAGGGCTTTAGACAGCGCCCAGACAGCCAGACAGCCAGACAGCTTGGCGCAGGCTGCCTGGCGTACAAAGATCCTTAGCCCGAGGTTTAAGTTCGATCCCAAGGGCTCGATCTTGACCTTGGTCATGACTCAGGCGCTCAGCGCTTCGCGTGGGCGAAGAACCGGGGCTGAAGCCGTTGAAACATCACCTCAAAGGCCATGGAGTCTCCCGTTTTCTTGCTGCTCATGAGAAATGGAATGAGCCAAAGAACCCTTTTGGGATTGCCTTATAAAGCAAGCCAATCGCCAGTTGGATGGTTGGGGGTTCCCTTTCTTAGAGCCCATCGATCGCAAGTTTTGGATAGGCGCTGCCTCAAGATGACGGCACGACCATCACCCGGCTGCTCCAAGACGCGCGCCAGGCGCGGCGAAGGCACACGCGCACGAACTCGATACACGAGGCACAAAACACAGAAAGGATGTAGAAGGAAAGAAAGAAAGCGAGCTAGCCAACCAGCAATCAGACAAACAAAGAAACACGCAAGCCAGCAAGCAGAACAAACGCACTCACATTCAAGAACACACACACACACTGCCCAGGCAGTGCACAAGCACGCAAGCGCAGCCAAGCCACTGCGCATTCCCGCGCACACGAACAAACACTTTTCACACACGAACAAATTCACGCAGGCACGCTTGATGTCAGTGGTTTCATTACGCGACAAAGGGGAGTGAACTGATCACCGAGAGGGCCGTTTACAGGGGGTCTGCTTCCCTAGTGGCAAGGGGCAGCTAGAGATTTGCAAGGGGCAGCTAGAGATTTGCCTCGTCCTTCCCGCTTGCCTGGCGCAGGCCAAGTGGGAACACGGGACACTATTCTCTATTTGGAGTCTCCACCCTGAAACAATTGCGTCAGTGTCCAAAATGGGGTCATGGACCCATTTTTAAGGGGTCATGGAGACTCCAGGTAGAACTTCCTGTCAGATGTGCCTTGTTCCACGTCTCGAAACCGAGACTCTGCAAGTCGGCACGACGGGCTTTGGGAACCCCAGCATTTTTTATTTATTTTTTTCCGCTTGGTGTGGATGGTCGGATACTTTTTGGGGAATGTAATCTAGGTCCCAAGCTACGTGCCCCTTTCTCACCCCCTTTTTTGGTTGGGAGCGTTCCCCCACGCAAATAGACTGCAGCAAAAAGGGTAGCCTTATTCTAACCTCTCTGCTGGAGGACCTAGTAATGTTAACCCCGGATGAAGTCAAACCCCTGGTTGATTTTGATTGGGGTGTGTTTTGATTGTTTTTGTGGGGATTCAGACCACTAAACATAAAAATTATCAATAGGCTCCCAGCAAGTGGTTGTTACCCAGCATCAACCAGGATTGGAGGAATTATCTTTGTGACAATACCCGTTTTAGATTGGCTTAAATGGTTTCAAAGGGACGGAACACCAGCATTTTGGGGGTTCCCTATTTTGACACGTACTCTGCAAAAACGCATCATTCCACTTGACTTTGTCTCCGTGAGGGGTGCATCCTCCAACGAAGGCGCACTCCCCCGTGCACGCAAGCATACGCTCGGGCAAGCACGGGCAAGCACACACACACACACAGATACTGTCAATCAGTTGTGTATATATACATATATACACGCGCAGACACTGTTATTTTCCTCTGCGACAAGACCCGCTGGCACCCCTCGTTACACACCCTCGTTACACACCTCAGATGAGCAAACCGCTTGGCTGGTTGCATGCCCCTCTCTGCATACCTCGTTACAGACCCAACCCCAGCCCGGGCCAGCAACCCCCCTTTTTGCGGCAGCGTGACTTGCGTTGAATAGCTGCAATCAAGCTGGAGCTGCGGAGGCGTGCTTTGCCGACTGCGCTTTGCTTTGCCTCGTTACAGACCTCGTTACATAGCCGTTACATACCTCGGTGCAGACCCAACCCCAGCCCGGGCCCTTTTTGCCGCAGCGTAGCCGTTACATACCTCGTTACAGAACCAACCCCAGGCTGGGCCAGTGACCCCCTTTTTGCCATCGCTTGGTTTTGTGTCGGCAGTTGCAAATTTTAAGCTGGGGCTGCGCAGGCGTGTACTGAAGAGTTGCGACTTTCGAGCGGGAGCTGCTGCTCTTCGTTGATCTGCGCTACATTGTTAAGGTGCTACTGATACTGATACTTGTCAAGACATGTGTTCCCGTTACAGACCTGCGTAACAAGGACCTCCGTCACAGACCTCCGTAACAAGATTCGTGGCGCGTCGCGCGTTACAGACCCTCAAAAAATTCGTAGCCATATGTATATAAAAATAGACTCGCTTACACGCGCTTACTCGCAAACCTGCGCATATCCACGTTGAAGGGTTGGCTATTTCACAAAGAGCAGTCGGAAATGAATGTTGAGCCGCAGGTGGTCCAGTCGCAGTCGGAGAGCAGCGTGCAGGTTTCTTGA